AGACCTTTCATTTGAGTACCTACATCAATTTTTCATATATTTATATATATTTATATATATATGAATATATGAAAAATATATAAAAATGCATGTGGGTACTCAAATGAAAGCTCTTGATGAGTGTAACATCAAGATGAGCTTATATATTTAAAAACGTCAATATTCAAGAAAGTACAGTGCAATTTAACAAAAGTCACATAGTGACTACAAGGTCGCTAGTTAGTTTTTAAATTACAAATTCATTGTTCAATTTCAGGTGGATTTGATGGCACAAGTAATGTATTAGCTGGAAAACTTTATGATATTCCCGTACGTGGTACCCATGCTCACGCTTACATAAATTCGTTTGCCGGAATAGACGAATTAAAATTACGAGTATGTATTAATTAATCAATTAAAATACTAAATAACTAAAATAATTATTGACTTATTTCTTCTTTTATTTAATTAGTGTCTTCTGCACAAAGAAACCGGCGAAGAGTTTGATTTATTAAAACTATCATGCAAGTATCGACAGCAAATAGCGTCCGACTTAGGGGCTCTTGTTATGGAGGCTTCAGACAGCGAACTAGCAGCGCTAGTTAGTTTCGCAATAGCATTTCCGGACGGCTTCATGGCACTTGTGGACACTTATGATGTAAAAAGGTAATAAAGCCAGTTTAGAATTATTGGCAGTGAAAAATTTGACATCACGCTGTGTTTATTTTCTTTTAAATGTTTTATTTATACTTTGTCTTTTAAAATACTGCTGTGAGTTTCTATCCGCTTAAAGCTTAATAATAATAATTATTATTATTATTGATACAATACACATTTATTTATATTTTAAAAACAATCATCTGATATTTTTTCTGCGAGATCATTTTACATAAATGTCAGGATATTATTAGAATAAATTAATACAAGTCGCGGCGATTAAAAGCAATCAAGTAAAAAAAAAAAAAGTAGGATGATGTCATGAAGATCAATTGACGCGTATAGAGTTGGAAAAATTGTTTTTGTTTTATTATTTTTTTTTTTTTTAATTGTACTCTGTCTAACATTAGTGTATTTGTAGCATTAAATCATCGTTCGAGAGGCAGTCACGTGTAAACAACGAAAATAATAAATACAAAGATGACGATAATAATATTAATAGCCGTAATGATTCTACAATAAATAACGAATCACACAAGAATGGTTATAGTACTCCTCCTAATCAACAAGAGACATCACAATGTCTTACAAAAACACCAACTTACAGCCATGACTTATTTAAACCAGGCGAATTGGGAGAACTATGTGTGAGGTATGATTTCGTGTTGTGTCCTTTTCTTTTTTTTTCCTTATTCATTTACTTTTTATTTTTATACTTTACTAATAATTGAAACGCTGCTGCTGCTGCTTGAGAGCTATTTTATTATTTACACATCACTCGCCAATCATCCATCATCCATCCATTATCTTATTATTTTTCTTAATACTTCAAACAAAAATTCTAACAATTGGATTGAAAAAAAAAATTCTACCTTATATAGTGCTTTTCCCAATTCAGCCGCAGTTTTAAAATTACAATTGGCTAAATTAAAAAAAAAAAAAAAAAAAAAAAAAAAAAAAAAAAACTGAAATAAATAAAAAAAACTCAAGAATTAAAAAACCAATGTACGATTTCTTGAGAAAAATTATTTTTATTCAACATCGACAGGAATAAAAAAAACTAAAAAAGGAACTCATCAACCATTTGAATTGCATTTATCATTTGAATCTGCTGCTGCTGCTTGAGAGCTATTTTATTATTTACACATCACTCGCCAATCATCCATCATCCATCCATTATCTTATTATTTTTCTTAATACTTCAAACAAAAATTCTAACAATTGGATTGAAAAAAAAAATTCTACCTTATATAGTGCTTTTCCCAATTCAGCCGCAGTTTTAAAATTACAATTGGCTAATTAAAAAAAAAAAAAAAAAAAAAAAAAAAACACTGAAATAAATAAAAAAAACTCAAGAATTAAAAAACCATGTACGATTTCTTGAGAAAAATTATTTTTATTCAACATCGACAGGAATAAAAAAAAATAAAAAAGGAACTCATCAACCATTTGAATTGCATTTATCATTTGAATAAATGGATAAAAAATAATTAATCCACTCTTATAATTTAGATGAAAAATATGAAAATATATCATGTAAGAGCAAACTATTCGCAACGTGATTGGTCAAATATATAATAAGCATGAAAATATAGATAATTCCATACCAACAATCACACGCGCGCTTGCGCGCGCAACGTATACTAGTAAAAATAAATAAATTAACTCTAAAAAATTTTATTTTACAGAAGTGGATTATTAAATTTTTGTGCAGTGGCATTGGCACTGTCAGACCTCGGCTACCGCGCAGTAGGTATCAGAATCGACAGCGGAGATCTCGCGTACCTAAGTCAAGCGGCTCGTGATACATTTGTCAAGTTGTCTGAGCGCTTTAATATACCTTGGTTCGCCAAGATGACAATCGTCGCGTCGAACGACATCAACGAGGAGACAATAATGAGCTTGAATGAGCAAAACCACCAGATCGACTGCTTCGGAGTGGGAACACACTTGGTGACTTGCCAGAGGCAACCTGCTTTAGGTTGTGTGTACAAAATGGTAGAGATAAACAACCACCCGAGAATAAAGCTGAGCCAGGAGGTCGACAAAATAACGATACCTGGGCGAAAAAACGCTTACAGACTGTACGGAGCTGACTCACATGCTCTGATAGACTTACTTCAACGCTGCGATGAACCTGCTCCTCAAGTCGGGACTCGGGTGCTCTGCAGACATCCTTTCCAAGAGTCCAAACGCGCTTATGTTATTCCGACGCGCGTTGAAACTCTGCACAAGGTTAATATTTAGATGTTTTTTTTTTTTTTTTATTTTCAGTTTTAATTATTGGAAATTCTTTTAGGTCTACTGGAAAGACGGAAAAATTGTCAACCCCTTACCGGTGCTTCAAGATATTAGGAATAGAGTCAGCGAATCTTTGAAGACACTTAGAACTGATCATAAAAGGAGTCTTAATCCCACACCCTATAAAGTAAAAATTATTTTAATCTATATTATTAAGAGAATAAGAAAAATTTTGTTTTCAGAATAGTTATACGATAAAATCGATTTTTTTGAAATGACCTTGTATCTTGTGAACTATTGACATTTTTAAAGATATAAGCTCATCCCGATGTTACGCTCATCAAGACCTTTCATTTGAGTACCCACATTAATTTTTCATATATTTATATATATTATATTTATGTATATATGAAAAATATATGAAAATGCATGTGGGTACTCAAATGAAAGCTCTTGATAAGTGTAATAGTTAAGAAAGTACAGCGCAATTTAACAAAATTCATTATTTAATAAAGCAAAATTTTATTTATTTATAGTTTATAAGTCACGGCAGTCACAAAGTGACTGCAAGGTTTCTAGTTATTAATTAATATTTAAAAATTTTTTTAATTGAATTTATTCTATTCCAGGTGGCTGTAAGCGATGATTTGTACACATTTATTCACGATCTCTGGGTTCAAAATGCACCGATAGGTGAATTATCTTGAAACATATAATAATATTACTAAATAATAAATCAATAGTTTCCACAAAGGTATATTTATATTTAAGGTTCACAATGTTAAATAATTTAAATTGAAAGTACAAATTTGTTAGAGTGCATAATGTAGAGTTTTATGAACGAGTGCATTAAATCAATGGATCAAAATATTTAATAATGAGTAAGAACTATTAGTTACTGAATAAATTTAATTACTAGTCGGTCGTCATGTAGATACGTTATAGCTAGCGTAAATTTGAGTAATTACTACTTATTGTATTGAGGTTTTAAATATTTAAATATCCAATATAAGAGAAAAGTAAATGCATTAAAAAGAAACGTTTTTAAAGGTACAAATAATAAAATATTTGTCATAGTAAAAATATATTTATTACCGCGTGTAAAATATATTTTTAGATTACAATCTAAATCAATAATTAGAGTAAAGTGTAAAGATAATTACTACTTATTGTATTGAGGTTTTAAATATTTAAATATCCAATATAAGAGAAAAGTAAATGCATTAAAAAGAAACGTTTTTAAAGGTACAAATAATAAAATATTTGTCATAGTAAAAATATATTTATTACCGCGTGTAAAATATATTTTTAGATTACAATCTAAATCAATAATTAGAGTAAAGTGTAAAGATAATTATTTTAATGTTTGCAATTAGGTATAAAATATTTTTTACTCGACAAAGCAATATTGTTACGTCATTATAATTATCATATCTTAATATTATTATAATTACATGTTATAGAATACATTTGTTAATAATTTTTATTAGCTTTTTACTATTTTTAATTAAATCATTTTGTCTGATGCTTATAATCATTTAAACATTTTTTTTTTTCATTAATAAAAATTATATTAGTGAATAAATAAATTATTTTTAAAAATATCACTTAGGTCAGTGTAAATAATTTTTGGTAAAAAAATTCACCTTAAATTCTTTACAGTGTACTCGAGAAATTATTTTTGTAAATTTACTACTACCTAAGAATTTTTTTTTTCATATTAAATGTCAAAAAAATTTTATTTTAAAATAAATGTCAAGAAAAAAATTTTAAGAACTGTAAGTGCAATTTTTCAAAAATGTTTTTTAAATTCTCTAGTGCTAACTTTAATGTCATATAAAAAAAAAATTATCTCATACCTGATTCTTTTAGTATCATTTTATTTTTTATTTTTTTTATTTCTAACCGCGGGAAAAAGTGTTTACCCATCAAACATTACGCAGGTGTGTGTGTGTGTGTGTGTGTGTGTGTGTATGTGTGTTATCAGCTGTCAACAAAGCGATAAAAAATATTTGGTAAAAAGTTCCCATCAGCTTAATAAATAAAATATTTTTTAAGTAAGAATTTTTTTGGGGAAAAAATTAAAACAAAAATGGCGACGGAGAATAAAAAAATATTTAAAAAGTGAGTAGTTGTTTTTTAAACCTATAGGTGGTAGGTAGATCGGGGGTCAGTGGACGTCACGCAATTATAATACCTCCGACTCCGGAGTTTCTGTCTATCTATTGGGTGATACATATATGTATAGTGTGTGTGTGTATGTGTGTGTGTGATTCTCGGTAATAAAAAATACAATTAAAGATATTAAAAAAGCATCATTCTCTGTATCGGCGTTAGCAAGTGGTCCCCGTGACACTAAAAACAATAGCCGCTTAAAGAGTTTAGTAGTTGGAGCGTTTGTCAGCGTACCATCAGACATACAGTTAAATAAATATATATATCACTTGATTGTGAATAAACGGTGGAAGAAAAAAGAAAAAAGTAGTACCTAAGCCGGGAGGGTTGAAGCGAGACCCGAGATAAAACGTTTAATAACGCCGAGAGAGCTGGAGACAAAGAGTGCGTGTGTGAGTGTGTACATTAAAAGTAAAAGACCTTGATGTGCATTGCCACTGCTACACAATTTACAATTTACTATTTAATCTTAAACTTATTAAATACTTAGCTTAAGTACTCGACTACTATACCACTGCCAGGATTTATCTTCGGTCTGTTAATTGTCATTTTTATTATTTTTTTAATAGCGCTCAATTATTTTGGAAGCCCGATTTGGAGCGGTCAAACTCCAGCCGGTACTCCAATCCATTTTTGAGGCTTCTCTGGCATCACAGTTTAATTATTATCCGGCTGTTGGTTACCTGGACCACTATTATCCTCGTAATTGCGGGGTGATTGGACCACGAGGCAGGTTATGTCAGCTGGATTGGCAGGTACTGTGCCAGATCAGGTTAGTTTGTCGTCCAGGACAACGTCATTCTCGTTATCATCAACCGCTTCTAAATATTTGGAGAATCCTTGCCGTATAAAGATTTTAATCTGTTTTTACATGCTACGTAATGCAGCGGATGAAAGGACAAGCAAATCAGAGTAAGTTTACAAACTCATTGTTTGTAATTGTTTATTTTATAAAAAAAGTATTTATAGAAAATCATTTTTATACGTCAAGTAGTTGACGTCTGGCTAAATAATTAAAATGTGCTGATAATTTTCATTAAAATTAAATTAGCCGACATCTGAAAATTTTTGGAGTTAATTTTATTGAAAAATTTTATAAACTACACGTGCAATTTTTTTAGTTCTAATTTAATTAATTTTCATAAATTAAGTTAGCCATCTAAAAATTTTTAGAATTTTTTTTTATTGGAAAAATTATTACAAAAAAATTTCATTTGTAAAAAACTTTAAAAACTCTAAATGCAATTTTTAAAAAATATTTTTTTGTTCTAATTTAATTATTGAAGAAAAATTAAAAGCGTCGGCTAACTTTAGTATTATTAATAATTTTATTATTATACATACTTAAATCGGCATTTAATAAAAATATTTTTTATATTAATTAAAAAAAATTCACCAGTCTCAATAAATATTTTATAAATTTTTAAATTAATAATTTATTTATTGCACTAATAATTAAAACTTGCAGCAAACAATGGTCCCAAGGAGCACCAAGCAAGTGATCATGGCGGGGACGAGTCAAATTTCGATTCATGGCGAGGAGGTAACAACACGCAGCACCACTCAAACTACCCAACAATCGGTACCGGTGAGCCTTATCCTTACTACACCAATACGTCATTTCAATATCAAACATTTGGAGCAGGCGATGGTACCTGGTCTAATGGGACAGATCCAGTTGCCTTTTTGTCAGGTTACGGCGGTCAAATAAGCCACGATGCCTACGGCGGTGGAATGGACCAGATGTTTTCCACGGCAACCGGAGCAGGAGCAGGAGGGTTCAGCGGTTTCGGGGCCCAGCCAGCGTTCAACTACTTCCCAGCCGGGAACGGGGACTTCAACGCCTGGGGGACGCCCAGGAAGGCCCGCTACGAGGAGTACTACCCCCAGCCCAGAGGCAACGACAACTACACCGAGATGAAAATAGAGCAGGGCGTCGCCGGTCTGTCCCTAGGATCCGGCGAGCAGCTCCGCCACGAAATGTCTTCCCAGAGCAAGACCGAGCCGAAGGAGCAGCGGAAAATAACCTGGGCGAGTGTCGCCAGCCAGCCTGCAAAGCCAGTTCCGCCAGTGTCCACCAGCCAGGTGATGAAGAAGAAAGCCGGCATGCCCCCACCCCCTATCGTTCCTGGGAAACACAATATGGACATTGGGACCTGGGGAGAGGGCAAGTCTTCAGCTCCGCCTCCAAAGGCTCCTCTGCCGCCTCAAATTCCGCCGCCGGTCGTTACTCCGCCGGTTATTCCAAGGCAGAGACCGACTCCGCCGCCTAGTTGGAAGCCTTCTTCGCCTCCGCCGCAGCCACATCCTGGACCACAGCAATTACACGGTCCAGGGCCTCAGTTGCAGCATCCAATGGCTCAGCAGCAGCCTCAACAGCAGCCCCAGCCGCAGCATCAGCCTCAACAACATCAGCAACAACAACAACAACAACAACAACAACAACATCAACAACAGCATCATCAACAACAACATCCTCCACAGCCTCAGCAGCCGCTTCAACAGCAACAACAACAGCAACAACAACAACAACAACAACAACAACAACAACAACAACAACAACAACAACAACAACAACAACAACAACATCAGCAGCATCATCAAGCTCAACAAAATCATCATAATCAGCATCAGCAGCATCAACAACATCAACACCAGCATCAAAACCAAGCGCCACCGCCACCACCACAACAGTATCCACCGCATTTACCACCCGGTCCCACGCTCTCACACCCAGTCCTCGACGAACTCAAGGTCAAAAACGACTACAACCCTGGAGAGTTTGACCAGACAGCACCTGGTGCGAGATTTTTTGTTATTAAATCGTACTCGGAGGACGACATCCATAGGTCAATAAAATACGAGATTTGGTGCAGCACTGAGCACGGGAATAAAAGACTTGATCAGGCGTTCAAAGAGGCTAACAGAGATGGAGCACCGTTGTATTTATTTTTCTCGGTGAATGGCTCAGGACACTTTTGCGGCATGGCACAAATGGTCTCTTCTGTGGATTACCACAGCAACAGCTCGGTCTGGTCGCAGGACAAGTGGAAAGGCCAGTTTCGCGTGCGCTGGATATATGTTAAAGATGTCCCCAATACTCAGCTGCGTCATATCAGATTGGAGAACAACGAAAACAAGCCGGTGACTAATTCACGGGATGCACAAGAGGTCCCCCATGCCAAGGGGGTACATGTACTCAGGATTTTGCACACGTATCGGCACACTACGAGTATTTTTGATGACTTTGGTCACTACGAGAGGCGACAGGCTGAAGAAGATCAGCGCAAGGGGCCACCCCCTGGTGCTATGCAGCATCATCAGCACCAGCACCAGCAGCAGCAGCAGCAGCAGCATCATCATCATCATCATCACCATCAGCCGCCTCCGCATCATCAGCAGCAGCATCATCAGCAGCACTCACCGTCTGCTGGCGGGCCACGCGGACGGCCTCACTCTCATCATAATGATTCGAGAGATCATCAACATCCTCAACATTCGCATCATCAACGCAAGGTAATTCTTTTTATTTAATAATTAAATAAAATTTTGCTTTTTTAAATAATGACTTTTGTTAAATTGCACTGTACTTTCTTAAATATTGACATTTTTAAAGATATAAGCTCATCCCGATGTTACACTCATCAAGAGCTGTCATTTGAGTACCCAGATGCATTTTTTATATATTTTTCATAAATACATATATATAATATATATAAATATATAAAATATATGAAAAGTTGATGTGGGTACTCAAATGAAAGGTCTCGATGATTGTTACATCAGGATGAGCTTATATCTTTAAAAATGTCAATAGTTCACAAGATACAAGGTCATTTCTTAATTATGTAATAATTAAATTTTTTTTTTTTTTATTTAGGAACATAATCGTGATGGAGGACGTGGAAGAGGACGAGGAAATTCTTCACGTCAGTAGCAACGGGCTTTTAATTGATGCTGTTAACAATTATAAATAATTAATAAAAAAAACATGAAGATAAATATTGAATGATAATTGAACAGATAATCATGATGATGATGATGATGATGATGATGATGATGATGATGAAGGACCATTTACTTATTATCTCCATTACACAACAGGATTAATTCGTGGTATATATATATGTATATATAGATATACATATACATATATAGATCTATATAAATATATGAAGTAATGTACACGCATCGCTTATTTGCAACATCGACAGTTTAAAAAAAAAAATAATAGGTTTGAAAAATATTTAATAAATCAGTTTTATTAAAACTCAGTGTTGAATATTAAATTTGATTGAGAGGTTTTTAAATATTGATTCTCAATCATGTGTGACTTTGGATAAATAAAAATGGTTTTAAAAATAATTATTAAAATAAATAAAAATGATAATGAAGAAGAAAATATTATAATTATAATAAATATAAAAATGGAATGATTATGAAAATAGATTGAGACAATGTCTCTTGTAAAGTGGACAGTGAAAAAATAAAATATTAAAATTCAGTGCCTACGGCCTCTTGGGACGAATCGCTACTGGAAATGATTTTTAATTATTATTTAATCATGTTAATTACATAATTAAAAATAAAAAAAAAGTGTTGATCGGTCTTGAGATCGTGCTAAAAAAAAAAAAAAAAAAACTAAATCACTAAAAAATAAATAGTCTGTCAATTTTTATTATATTACTATATTTTTGTTTTTATTGCTTAGATGTTATTGTACTGAGAGAAAAATACACTTGTACACCTACTGAACTATAACATGGTAACAGACTATATAATGTATAAATTTGAATTATACCTGTGAGATATGCAATTTGTTATTGTACTCACAATTTTATTCTCCTTGTCTTGTTTAAACGTGCAAACAAATTTTAATTATTACGATTACTCCGATGCATGAAAAATAAAGAACGATTAAATTCATTGAATAAAACTAGATTATTAATTAAATATTTTTTTTCCTGATAATTCATTTATTATATTCTGTATTATTAAGAGAATAAAAAAAATTTTGTGTCCAGGATCATTTGATAAAATCGGTTTTTTTAGTTAAATTTAGTGTCATTGCAAAGGTCGTAATTTAAAAGTGCTCTATCTTTAGTGACATAACTAAGAAATGAGCTTGTATCTTGTAAACTATTGACATTTTTAAAGATATAAGTTCATCCTGATATTACACTCATCGAGACCTTTCATTTGAGTACCCACATCAATTTTTCATATATTTATATATATATGTATATGTATATATGAAAAATATATCAAAAATGCATGTGAGTACTCAAATGAAAGCTCTTGATGAGTGTAGCATCAGGATGAGCTTATATCTTTAAAAATGTCAATATTTAAAAAAGTACCGTGCAATTTAACAAAAGTCATTATTTAATAATCCAAAATTAAATTTATTGATAATTCACAAGTCACGGCAGTCACATAGTGACTGCAAAGTTGCTAATTAAGATTTTAAAAAAACTAAGCCAAATAATTTTTGTATCTGTAAAAAATTTTATTTGTCAAAAAATTAATTATTGCTAAGTACGGGAACTTGATCAGCCCAAGAAATTTGTCTAGTAGAACTTGGTCGGTTTTCAGAATCTCCACCCGAGTTAGTCTGCAAATTTTCAATAATTCTCTGCGCTTGCGGAGGATCCGCAGCTTTAGCAGGATAAATCGGTTCTTGTAAGTGCAAGTTTTCCAATTTATCCAAAGCAGATTCTCTTATAAATTCATCACTAGAAGTAGCTTGATTATCAAAATAATTTTTAATATTATCAACAACATAGTTGGGAAATTTATCTCTGTTAGCTTCCACGTACTTGAGTACAAATAAATCAGCCCCAGTGATTACAAACCTGTGATTAAAAATATTTATTTCAGCTCCAATAAAAAAGTCCTCTGGAGTGTAATAAACAACTTGATCATTGTCAGTGTCAGCTCGATAAATTTTACTCTTGGGTACGAGCATTGCCGCCAAAAAACATCCACCCCGATGTCCAGAGTTCCTTTTATCTATTTCGGTTATTTTTATTTTCCCATCACCGAGACTGTACTCGAGAACAAACTCACGGTCTTTATCTTCCGGGTGCACAGCAATCATGCTCACTAAGTACCGAAGCTTTTTTGGATGATTAAATATCTTCCTTATCACATCGTCTTTATTATTATCCTTAATTTGTTTTTGTGAGCGTTTTCTTGCTTCCGAGTTATAATAATGATCATCATTATCAATTCCCGCCGACAGTCGCGCCGGCTGTTGAATATTAAGCATTTCACTGTAATACTTTCTCGTGAAATTATCGCAGTCATAAAGATAAAATTTACGACCGAAGATAAAAATTGTTTCTCCAACCTAAAAAAAATAAATAAATTTATTAATTCCACTTTAAACATTAAATTTAAAAACTGACCTTTAAATCAGACGGCGAATAAAAGTCACCATTATTATCATCTCTTTCCATGTAAATACTCGGAAAGGAATTGGGAACATCGCTCCAATTTTTGGGAACCTTCATCCTCTTTAAGAGTAACCTTGATGGGTCTTTTCCGTAATTAGTCGCCTGAATTTCCCGCACCGCGATGGTGTCATCCGTCAAAAAATACAAAACCTGATAGCGGTCGTCGTTCCAGGTCGCGTCGAAGGTCAAAACCATCCCGTCAAACTCCAGAAATCTCCGTCTTGGATCTTCGACACCTGGACGGGTTCGTCGGGTCGCTGATAATGCTGCTCGTGAAGCATTTTCTTTGGCGACACGCTCCTGAGTGTAAGAGTCTGGTGGTGGGGTCTCTTTTTCTCCTAAATCAATTCCCTGGCTTCGCATAAATTCTTCAGTGAAGGTATCACAGTCCACCGTGTGATAAACTATTCCATAAATTGCTGAAATTATAATTATCTACATTATAAATCGTTTTTTTAACAAATATAATAGATAATAGCAATTTAAATTAACAAATATCTTGTGAAATATTGACATTTTTTAAGATATAAGCTCATCCTGATGTTACACTCATCGAGACCTTTCATTTGAGTACCCACATCAATTTTTTATATATTTCATATATTTATATATATATATATATATATAATAAATATATCAAAAAAGCATGTGGGTACTTAAATGAAAGCTCTTGATGAGTATAATATCGGGATGAGCTTATATCTTTAAAAACGTCAATAATTAAGAAAGTACAGTGCAATTTAACAAAATTTTTTTTACAACAATTTAATTATTATAAAAATAAAAAAAATCAACAAATGTCTATTAACTTCAGGATAATTAATCAAAACATACCTAAATCAATACCAACATTTAAATCTTTCCAATGATAAAACTCGCCGTTGGTTTTAGGAATTTTACCGCGACGTACCAGCCTGCCCTGCTTAAAACCCGCATTGTCAACCGCGGGCTCCATAACTGAGATCGTGTCATCCTCAAGAAAATAAATAATATTAACATGACGTATCCTGTGATACTCAGCCGGGGAATTGGGAACACTCTGGCGGAAAAAGGCCTTGAAATTCAGGCACTTTTGAGCGTACAATACATAATGCGGTATTACTTGACGATAAGCGTATCCTTTTGATCTCCCATAAGTCAGTGAGGGGTCGTATCTACAATTTATCCAATTATTAACTAAATTAGTAAGTAATTAAATAAACTAATTATTTGCTTACATAACTTCGTTAGGGGACTCCTGGGTGTAAGCTGATGACTTTGAATCGACGGGACGTCTTCCCGTTCCAACACTCGAGTCACTAACAATTCTACCGGCATTTGAGTAATTTAATTTTTGTTTAAGTTTGTGGTCTTGATTCTGAGTAAGTTGATTTTTTAATAACATTTTATTATATTATAATTTTAATAAATATTTATAATTACTTACTGAATAATTTTGAAAGGAGTACCCAGGTAACAAAGGTAAGTCCGCCATAGTGTATTTAATCACAATCTTACATTTAGATGTTTACTTTGACAACGGGTATTGATCGTTGCTAAGGAGTAATTAATATCAATATTAAATAATGAAATTGTTTTTGTCAAAATAAAACAGCGTATTTATTTAATATAACCTCTAGATTACTCAAACAATTTATTATTTATTATTTAATATATATATATATATATATATATTATGGCGCGATATTGACAATTTAAGCGACCGCAGTGGGCGATGAGCTTTGCAATAATAATAATAATAATAATAATAATAATAATAATTAATAATACTTATGAGTAAATAAAAATAATTATTTAATAAATAATGACCGTTTCTTCAAAGTTATTATCACATTTCTACGATTTGTTTCATGGCGACCATGCACCCAGCTGAAAGTAATCCTGCAGCTGGGACGGTTATCAGCCAGGCGAAAGCGATGTTTCGGAAGAGTGTCCAGGAAACTCCTTCGCCGCCCCGCGAAGCCCAGCCTACGCAGACCACGGACCCGACCTTGCAGTGGGTCGTTGAGACAGGTAGTCCAGCTTTGCTGGCTAGAAGAACTGTCAATGCTGCACCGACCTTAAAACGACATTAAACTTTTTAATTTTTTTTTAACAATTAAATTTCTATCAAAAATTTTAACAAAAAAAATTTCACATCTAGAAATTAAAATTAAATTTTTAAAAATAGTTTTTTCTTATTTTTGTTTAACTTTAATGTCATTTTTAATTTTTATTAAAATTTTTTTGCTATAATTTATTTATTAAAAATAATAAAATGTCTCTTAATTTATGAAAATAAAATTAGCTGACATTTGATAATTTTTATAATTTATTTTATTTCATGCTAATTTTTAATAAAGTTCGCCGACATTTTTGTTTAATTTATTAAATTAGAGCTAAAAAATATTTTTAAAAAATTGCACTTATAGTTTTTTAAGTTTTTTACAAGTGACAATTTTAAAAAAATTTTTTTGTCAATTTTTTTAATAAAAAATTTAAAAATATCGGCTTACTTTATTTTCATGGCTAATTTTAGTATCATCTAAATTTCAGTATCATAAAAAAATATCGATCATGCAGCCTAATAATTTAAATGACTTATTTATATTAAAATTTATTCTCAGATCGATAAAATACAGAAGAAGACGTACTTCGATAGTGAAACCAGTAGTGGGTGTAATTTTAGCAAGGTCCTGACCCAGAGTTTGAATGACGCGTCTACCCCAGATCCACAATCCAACAGAAATGCCGACTCCTCCGTAGAGAAGAATCAGCAGTGGTGTCTCAGTCTCTTGTTTAGCAGATCCTTCAGCGTAGACAGCCCAGAGACCTATGAGAGGTCCGATGGCATTGCTAACGTCGTTACCACCATGTGCGAAGCTCCCGAAAGCTGCAGTGAGGACTTGGAGGAAGGAGAATAATTTCGCGACCTCAGGATTGTCTTCTGTGTGATTCTGGGTGTCTACCGGGTCGGTGATGCCCTCGTCGCAGATTTCAGTTCCGCCGGTTGTCAGTAACAGAGGACTCGCACTGTTGTTTCCTCTAAGACCTGGCTGCTCACCAGACTTTACCACCTTGTTGGTCATGTTCGGGGTCTCAGTTATCACCGACAAAGGCGTTGTTTCTTTTTTGCTGTCACAAGCACCGAAACTCGTCGGGTCCAGAGCGTTGCTCAGCATTATCCGGCGACGCTGAACCGGCACCACAAACATTAGGACTATCAGGCCGGATAGTAAACCTGCTACCACCGCTGCTACTCCACTGACCCACTTAGGCAAGTTATCCATCATCAATACTGAAAATTTAAATAATTATTTTTAATAATTGATAAATTTAAATTAAGATAGATTATATTGAAGGAGTTAATTACGTTTTGGTCCATCCAAAATAACAGATAAAATATTAACAGACACTGTGAGGCCATAAAAAATTGGCAGGACACGAAGACCTCGTTCAAGGGGCATTCTAGCGTTTAATATTGACTTTTTTATCAACCAGAATAATAATACTGATACAATTCCGCTGAGTATTGGACTCGCGAACCATGATCCAGCTATATTTAATAAGGCCATCCATCTTACCTATTAAAAAAAAATAAATTCTAAGTATTTTATATTCAATTTTAAAAAATCATATCAAAGTTAGCAATTTTTTTAAAATAATTGATTTGTTAAAATGATCAAATATCTGCTTAATTAATTTTCATTTAAAAATGATATTAAAGTTAGCAGTCACTTGACTATACTTTTTAATTTTTTTTAACAAATAAATTTGTTCAAAAAAATAGCATTTGTAATTTTTTTAAATTTATTTGTTAAAAAATTTATTAAATTAATTATAATTTAAAAAACTTTATTATATAATTTTTATTTTCAGGTAAAATAACTTACGCCAGCAGTACCTCTGCATACAAGTGAAAAACCAACAGTCGCACCAACAATCGAATGCGTACCAGAAATGGGTAATCTTAACGCTGTAGCAAACAACAACCAAATCCCAGAACCAGTGAGACTACACAGTAAACCAATCATAAATTCTTTTTCAAATCCTTCGTACAAACCGACGTCCAAGATCCCTTTTCTCATTGTATCAGACACCTGAAAATCATCACATGATTAATAATTTCTTCAGAACTGAAGAAATGTTGATAAGAAAATTTTTAGGTAAGTACCTTGTAACCGATCAACACAGCTCCGGCTATTTCGAATATTGTAGCTAGTATGCATGCCTGAAAAATAGTCAACACTCCTGCACCAACACTTGTTCCAAAACTGTTAGCAACATCATTAGCTCCGATGCCAAACGCCAGTACAAATGCTACTATAAACCCAACAACTACCAGCCAAATGAAATCAGTATCATACTGTTCAGTCATTGTTACTGACTAATTAATAATAATAATAATAATAATAATAATAATAATGTTTGTTATTATCTTGCTAGTTTTGATCTCAGTAACTCGTGGGTTCTCCAGTTGTAAAAATAACACTTTTAGCAACTCACTCATCCAATTATTATCATTACTGATTCGGTAACTTTTTACTTTCTTCAAGTTAATTCCATTCGCCTAGTCATATTTTTTACAGTGTAAATATAATTAATATATACACATTTGTAGATGTATCATATATACATTTATATGTACATGCAGAAGCAATTAGCGGTCTATACCATGACAGACTAATTGATAAGAATAAGTTAATACAACTTATAAACTAATTAACAATATGATAGGCTAATCATACAGGAAATTATTAAAAAAAAAAAAAATTAGCTTATACTTTATATCTTGAAGATAATAAAATCAACTCGGTATTAAACAATTTGTACATAAAAAGGAGGTAGTTTATCCCCGTAGCACCCAAATTCACTAGCTTCATGACTTTTTATCGTTTCTTCCTTGTTAGGTTTATTGGTTAATAAAAATATATATATATATATATGCATATGTATATGTAATAATTAACGTGGTTATTTTTAAGTATTTCTTCTTCTTAGATTGTTTAATAATATTGTTATTGTAATTTAAATGTCGAGTGTTTACAAGACAATTTGTCTTCTATTTTAGGCACTGATTTTATTCTACCAAATGCCATACGCTTCATCATAATCTTCAATACTTTTATTGATCTTCTCTTGGTTTTTTGCATCTAAAAAAAATCACTTCATTAGTATGCTCACTCAATTTATCAAAATTTATTTTTATTATTTAATTAAAATATAAATAGACAATAATAAAATTAAAAAAAAAAAAGATGAATTTAAAAAATGGATTCAGTTTTTAATTACGGTTCTTATTCAGGAGATTGCAACAATGGAACCAATTGACATTTTATCGACTATTGAGTCATATGTTCAATTAAAAAAAAAATGTATTTGAAATTAAACTCATTTATTGTCAGCTAACGCTGTTAAATAATAATTAATTAACGTTGAATCATTGTTACTACAATTCATGCAATGAAGAAAATCAATTAATTTAAACTTTTAATTTAACTTACATGATTCTTAAAAAAAATTAATTCAACTGTAAATTTATAATAACTTATTAATTAATTTTAATATATTTTTGATAAGTTGAAAACCGCGTGATAATTTATGGGGATGAATGCCGGTGAAGGACATCTAGTTAACTTCTGGGATTTATTTAAAAAAAAAAAAAAAAATTAATTAATTTGAATTAAAATAGTAAAATAATTATTAATTAATTAAAAAAACTTACCGGTATTTTGGTTTTCATACTCTTTACGTCGACACCAGGTCCTTTTGGATATCATCCAATTTTAAAATTAACAAACGGAAGAAATTTAATTATTACTACAACTATTAACAATTAAATAATAAATATTTATGCACTAAATTGACCGTCTGATTGCAATAATAAATATTAACAATAAAGTCTAATAAATAAAATGGACTCGTCTCGATCGTACCTAATTTTCTAGCGTGTATTATAACTCGTGATGATCCAGATGACTGAGATTTTTCGAGAATGTTGTTCGTTAACATTTCCAGCCCCCGAAGGGTTGAAAAATAATAAGACGGGGTGCCGAAAATAGCGATTACGCGAATGCGAGGTTGCTATTGATCGTATTCCACTCACTCTACGAGTGTGTGTGCTGGTATTTCCAACCCCTGTCACATTCTTTCTATCTACACAGTAACATATTCGATTCGGCACGTGTTCTTCATTTCCTGCCTATTTTTCACGTACATGTACCTATATATTGCTTCAGTATAAATATATCCTATCAAAGCCTGGATTTAGATGCTAACTGCTGATTAAATCAATTACCATCACTCTATTAAATTTTACTGTAATCGATTGTCTGATAATTACTGCGCTAATGATTGACTAGTCAAATGAATTGAACGATTTTCATTTTTTATTTACATTTATCTTCAATTCAGTATAATTTACATTCAAGCGGAACAATTATACTAATTATTTTTATTATTGATCTATTGTTTATTAAATTAATTCATTTTAATTATCCAATACTTATTCTGCATTCCATTCTTCTTTTTCTTTTATCTCCTTTCTTACTTCTTCCAAGTATGGTTGCAAGTAACGGACGTCCTAGTAAAAGTTCATTTTTTATTTTATTAATTTTTAAATAAATATTCAACTGAAATAATAAGATATTTAACAATTTTAAAGATTTTTTTCTAACAAAGAAAATTATTATAAAAAAAAATCTACATTTAAGAAATTTATAAAATTTCTTTTTGTTAAATTGCACTGTAATTTCTTAAATATTGACATTCTTAAAGATATAAGCTCATCCCGATATTACTCTCATCAAGAGCTTTCATTTGAGTACCCACTTGCATTTTCATATATTTTTCATATATATATATATACATAAATATATGAAAAATTGATGTGGGTATTCAAATGAAAGGTCTCGATGAGTGTAACATCGGGATAAGCTTATATCTTTAAAAATGTCAATAGTTAACAAGATACAAGGTCATTTTTTAATTATGTATCTATAGATAATTTTTTAGTTGTAACTTTTTTTTTTTGACAATACCAAAAAATTGTTAAATTATCTTTAATTGTTATTAATAAAAATTAAAAAATATTTTTAATAATAATAATTGATAATAAATTTAAAAAATAACATTGTCATACTTCTTCCCACTTTGTCCATTGTTCTTGAGGCAATACAATTTTCTGGCAACTCAATTGCATTGCACGAACGATCCGGAATACTCTGGCATCCATAACATCTTCGGGAAGGCGACGTAACGCTTCCTTTACATCGTCAGATTCATAAATACAGTCATCGTGCATCAGACCTACAAAATAACAATTTTAATAATAGTCACTTTTATAGAAATTTTAACTAGTAACAACAATTATCAGTCAGTCGTTAATAAATTACCGTATTGATTGAAACGAGATTGGTTGTAGCACCATTTTTTGAAGCCATCGCCTGGAAAAAAACAAAATTCATTTACAAAATTGTTGCATAATAAACCTTCATGACAAAACGTCATATTTTTAGAAATTTCGTCAGAGAATTAAATATTTTAATAAGAATAATTACTTATTAGAAAGCGAGCAACTTTGGAACCACCAGCAGCCATAATTACTTTATTTAAATGATTATTAAATTAATTTTTTTCCGTCTGGAAATAATTTCACAGAGTTTTACCAAATACCTGTTTTGGGGTTAAGAGCTTTAACGCCATCTTTTGGAATTTTGCGCCATCTGGTAGGATATATAAAAATTGAATTAAATGTTTAAAAAATTAAATCAGTTATTGTTAATTTATAAAAAATAAAAAATTAATCTTTCTGAGTGATAATCATTAAAATAATCATAAAATCTCGTCATAATAATTAATAAATTATTTTTAAAATTAAAAATTAAACAAAAAAACGCGGGAAAAATAAAAAACTATCGTTTAAGTTCATATGTTTTAATATTTTGTTTTTTTTTTTTTTTTTTTTGCCATTTTAAGTGATATTTATTTAAGTGAATAATCGAGTTGTTAATTTAATTAGATTAAATAAATTATTAATGGCTAGTGAGTAATTATTAATAGAGTTATTAGTTAAAATAAAGTGAAATAATTATTTAAAAAATTAGTTCGGAGGCCGCAAGCGCGGTGGGACTAGTTAAAAAAGGTGTAGTAAACGTGATCAAGCGGCTGGTATATAAAGACGGTTAGAAAATATTCTGCTGCCTCTTCCTCATCAAAGAGTAGAGTTGTTTTCACGCGTGGTTGTTGTGTCTCCTTATTTTATTATTAAAAAATAGGTCACACAACCCACCTTTCATTCGTGAATAAACTCTTCTAAAGTTTATAAAGTCTTAAAAAAAATATAAAAAATCTAAAAAAAAAAAAATAAAAAATAATAAAATCCAAAAAAATAACTTAAAATAATTAAAACCAAAAAAATCGCAAAACGTAGAACGTAAAATAAATAAAGTAATAATAATAAATCTGCGAACAACAACTCAGTGGACAAGAAAAAACGTAGTAACGTTATTTAAGTAACAAGAAAAAAAGGCCGTGCAAGTGTAGTACGACGACGTTAATAATTGGTAAATATATATATCAATAATAATAATTAATATATTATTATTGCTATCACCATTATAAGTGGAAAAAATATAATTGTGCTTGTGGAGTAATTTGTTGGAGAAAAATCAGCAAATCGGGGAAAAGGCGATTCAACACGAGCCATATTGAAGCATCGAATATAGACGAGAAGAGGCCATTTTTTTTTTTTTCTCCCACCAGAGTCACCGAGTCATTCAGTTCCGCTTAGAACTCGGCTTAACCAACATCGTTGACTGCTAACGTGGTTAGGACCGTTACTGATTTTTTTTAACATTTATTATTTATTATTACATTTATTTTCACGTTGATAAGAAGAAATAAAAAAGGATCACGATGAATCCTGGTGCACCGAATTACCCGATGGCATCGCTCTACGTCGGAGACTTGCAGTCGGATATTACTGAAGCAATGCTGTTTGAAAAATTCTCATCTGCTGGTCCTGTTTTGTCTATTCGCGTATGTCGCGATGTTATTACTCGGCGTTCTCTTGGCTACGCCTACGTTAATTTTCAACAGCCTGCTGATGGTGAGTACTAAATTATTATTCAATTATTTTATTTATTCGTGAGTATTTATTTAAGATAAGATTATATTTTCGGCATGTTGATGGCTTCCATGCCGTTTGGCGGCCGCCATTTTGAATTACTATTTAGTGTCTCACGCACACGCCGCCGTGGAGCTAAGACACGTGCACCGACCACCATATTGAACACATGGCGAGGCTAAAGAAGCCTGTTAGACATTTATAATTTATTTTAATTTAATTATTTATATTTTATTCTAAAATATTTATTTAAAAATTTAATTAATTTTTTTTTTTTTCTTAAATTATAAATTATATGAAAATGATTAATTGTTATAATTTATTTAAATTTAATTATTTATATTTTATTCTGAAATATTTATTTAAAAATTTAATTAATTTTTTTTTTTTTTTTTTTTTTTTTTTTAATTGTAAATTCTACAAAAATGATTCATTGTAACAATTTATTATTTGTCACGTTTAATTCCTTCTGCTATGTACTATATGTTAATCTTATCTTGAAAAATTTGTTGAGTCATGATCCATCGCCACGTTGTGTATTAATCTGATACGGTATTTTAATATTAAACAATGATAATTAAAAAAAAAAAAAAAACTGATGTATGATGAATTTTTCAGCCGAACGTGCATTGGACACTATGAACTTTGATATGCTTAAAGGACGGCCTATTAGAATAATGTGGTCGCAACGTGATCCGTCTCTCCGTAAGTCCGGAGTTGGAAATGTCTTTATCAAGAACTTGGACCGTAGCATTGATAACAAGGCTATGTACGATACTTTCTCAGCGTTTGGTAATATTCTCAGCTGTAAAGTTGCTCAAGACGAGACTGGTGAGTCCAAGGGTTATGGATTCGTGCATTTTGAAACTGAGGAAGCTGCTAATAAATCTATTGACAAGGTCAACGGTATGCTGTTGAACGGCAAAAAGGTAAATTTTAATAACACTGTTAATATCTACTAGCTATATTATCAATAGAGCTCCAATTAAGATTCATTTTGTTCTAATAATTTACCAGAATAGTTTAGAATAAATTATTATTGGTAATGATGATAAATTCACGCGTCTGATATGTCGATCAGTCATGTAGAAGCTAGAAATAGCTGAACCCACTGCGTGCCGGCATAGAAGTAGAAAAATGCGCTGAAGTGCTGTCTGAACCTTTTTTTTTTTTAAACAATTAATATTTTTTAAAATTAAAATTTATTTCAATTTAATTTTATTTTTAAGTCGCAATAAATTAATATTATATTAATCAAATAATTAAATAAAATAAAATTTTATTATCTATATTATTGAAAGAATAAGAAAAATTTTGTCACAATTAAAAAATGACCTTGTATCTTGTGAACTATTGACATTTTTAAAGATATAAGCTCATCTTGACTAATTACACTTATCGAGACCTTTCATTTGAGTACCCACATCAATTTTTCATATATTTTATATAATTATATATATAGTGAATTAACTATTTATTTAAATTTCAGGTCTACGTTGGCAAATTCATCCCACGCAAAGAGCGCGAAAAGGAATTGGGCGAAAAAGCAAAACTCTTCACCAACGTTTACGTGAAGAATTTCGGTGAAGACATGACTGATGAAAAATTACGGGAGATGTTTGAAAAATACGGAACCATAACTAGCCACAAAGTTATGTCTAAGGACGACGGCAAATCGCGAGGATTTGGATTCGTTGCCTTTGAAGATCCCGATGCAGCCGAGCAAGCAGTAATCGAGCTGAACGGAAAAGAAATTGCCGAGGGTAAATACATGTACGTCGGTCGCGCCCAGAAGAAAGCCGAGCGTCAGCAGGAGCTGAAACGCAAGTTCGAGCAGTTGAAAATTGAGCGACTGAACCGTTACCAAGGAGTCAATCTCTACGTCAAGAATCTTGATGACACCATCGACGATGAGCGCTTGCGCAAGGAGTTTACGCCTTTCGGAACCATAACTTCCGCCAAGGTAATGTTGGAAGATGGCCGCAGCAAGGGCTTTGGGTTCGTGTGCTTCTCGGCTCCGGAGGAAGCCACCAAGGCCGTGACCGAGATGAACGGCCGGATCGTCGGAACCAAGCCACTGTACGTGGCTCTTGCCCAGCGAAAGGACGAGCGTAAAGCTCACCTGGCTTCGCAGTACATCCAGCGGATGTCTAACCTCAGAATGCAGCAAATGGGACCAATGTACCAGGCTGGAGGCGCTGGAAGCTTCTTTGTGCCAACTTTGCCCCAACCTCAACGCTTCTACGGACCCGCTCAGATGGCCCAAGTACGGACGACTCCTCGCTGGCCGGCTCAGCCGAACCAAGTGCGTCCCAACGCCCAAGCCGGCAGCACCGGATTTGCCACCATGCAAGCTCCGTTCCGCGCAACTCCTCGCGCCGCCACTGCTCAAGCCGGTGCCATGAGAAACGCCATCTCCGCGAGACCCATCACTGGGCAGCAACAGCAGGTCGCTGGAGCCAACATCCAAGGACGCTCCATCAGCGGAACCAACGTCGGAGTTGCTCAGACCCAGAGTCGTCCTCCGAACTTCAAGTACAACATCAACGTTCGCAACCCACCCCAGCCCATGCAGATGCCCCAGCCGGCTCCAGTTCAGCAAGCTGTCCACATTCAGGGTCAGGAACCCCTCACTGCTTCAATGCTGGCTGCTGCTCTTCCTCAAGAACAGAAGCAAATGCTGGGTGAAAGACTCTTCCCGCTTATCCAGATGATGTACCCGCAGCTCACCGGTAAGATTACTGGTATGTTGCTCGAGATTGATAATTCTGAGTTGTTGCACATGTTGGAGCACAACGAATCGCTCAAGGCTAAAGTCGAGGAAGCCGTCGCCGTGCTACAGGCTCATCAGGCCAAGCAAGCCGTCAAGAAGGACTAAGGTCCACGCAACTTCGTTGCTGAATAATAATAATAATAATGAAAAATAATAATTTTATTCTGATAATATTCCTTGATTTTGTTTAAACTATTTTTTTTTTTTTTTTTTTCTTGTATGAGTCTAAGGTCTTACTTTTTGTATTTAAATATTTTTATTTTTATTAATTATTTAAAATTTAATAGAAATTATTATGATGATTATTTATTAATTATCATTATTGTATTTATTTTTATTAATTACTTAAAATTTTATAGATATAAATACAAAAGAGATAAATGATGAATAATTGACATAATAATTATTTCTATTGAATTATAAATAATTAATAAAAAAAAATAAAACTTTGGTCATACTAGGGATTTATCAGAATACTTACTGGAAACTTTTCGTCCGTCGAAACGATTCCATGACTCGTCATTTATTTATGATGATTAACTTCTCTTTTTTAGTTTTTATATTGATTCAATTTAAATAACATATTTACTTGTGAAAAACTTTCACCGGTAATATTTTTGTTCAGCACTAAAATAATAAATATTTTCTTTACTTTTTTATTTGGTTATTAAAATTACAACGGGCGGACTTTTATTTTTAAATAAATGAAAAAAAAAAATAGAAAAATGATAATGTTTTTCAGAGAAAAAAAGAAAATGTCAAAAAAAGAGCAAAATAATTTTTTTCATTTTCATTATCATTTTTTCCTTTTTTCATTTTCATAATTTGAGGACTCGGTGGTATTTCAGCAGAGTTGTTTTTAATTTTTAATTAACTGTGTAATTAATTTTCAATCATGCTACTGATAATTGAAAAGTTTAAACAACTCGGCTGGAAAGTTATTGAGGTGAAAGTTATGAAAATGAGAAAATAAAGAAAATGGTAAAAATAAAAAAAAAAAATAATAAAATACCACAAAACGTAAAAAAAAATCGCAAAATAATTAAAAAATACAAATAAACTTAATGAAATGAAACAAATAATACAATTTACATATGACTACTTTTGTAAAATTTAATGTTTAAAAAAAAAAACAAAAATGAAAAAAAAAAAAAAAAACTCTGTTAATTGCGAAGATAAAACAACGATTGTATCTGTTTTTTTCTTCATGTTTTATGATAATAATAATTTTTCCTTTCAAAAATATTTTTTATTTGTTCCCTAATAAATCCTTAATAAAACTTAATGAACTTAAATGACATTAGAGTTTTAAATAAAATACCAAAAGTGATTGAATATTTTCAAAATTTATTGCTACAATTTTTTGAATTACATTCACCAGTAAACATTTTCCTTATTAATTATAATTACTTATCTAATATTGATAAATAATACCAATATGAGATTTAATACTTAGACATATGCTAATTAATTAATCAAATGAGGCGATTTCCTTCAGACATCATGCCAGCACAGTGTCATTGAATCAAAACATTTTTAATTAATTAATTTAATTTATTAATAAATTTGTTTAAACCTCCGTGGAAACTTTACATAATATTGTGACATTTAAACAAAAATTTATCGACGAAATGCATTTGAATTTTCAAGTGAAAAAAAAATTATCCGTAGAAATGCTTCCTTAAAATTAATTCAGACTTTGATAGCCTCGATAGTGAATAACAATTAAAAAAAAAAAATTAAAAAAAAAAAAAATGATTTATTAAATCCTTGGAGTCCATTGATTTTATTTTTTCAGAAGAAAGTGAGAGACATTCTCGTACACAAGGAAGGTGATGACTGTCGCAGGAGTAACTCTTGTTAAGTTGACACCCAAACCCTTGTAAAATCCTCGCCAGCCTTCGCGCCTGTAAAACCACCGCAACACTTTCGTTTATTTCTGTCCTGTCTTTTTTTAATTTACAATTAGATCTAATTAATTAATTAACCAGTATGACTTTTTAATAAATCAAAAATTCACCTGGGGTTTCCACGGAGATACTTTTATATTTTTTAAAATTATAAATAAATGGGCCTGCCATTAAAATATATTTTTAATCTCAGATTTCCAATTAAAAATTCAAGTTACAAGTGTGAGTTAAAACATCAATACATTTAAAAAATATTATTTTTAAAATGCGCCTCATTAGTTCAAAACATTTAAAAAAGCCATTGAAATATTTTGATATAGTCTTCGGTAGTTTTATTATTATTTATCGTGATATATAAATAGTGATTTGATATACTGAGATGTTTAATACAATAACAATATTTGTTTTTTTACTGTTTGCTTTCATAAATAAATTTGTGCTATTTTGTATTATTTACAACTTGAAGAGACAAGATCTTTAAATCAACACTGATAACTTTAAATAAATTTTTTTTTATAATAATTACTTGTAATAAAATCAATTAATATTAATGATTTTTCATCGTGTCATTATAGATCTGTCATTACAAGTCAATTATATTTACTTAAAAATAATTTTTTACACTTAAAATAAAACAGTTTTGAGATTTTCATTTTTTAAATTCGTCTTATTTAAATAATTAAATTATTGGCTTAAAAAAAATATTTTAAGCAACGATTTTTATTATTATTGAAATAAAAATCGCGTTTGGCTCTGAATAAAATTGATAACAAATTATAAGTACCTCTATTAATTTTTTTATTCTTAAGATTGTATCAACAAAAAAAAAAATATTATTGCAACCTTGGAATAAAAAAATTATAGTATGTAAGCACTGGAATACACTTGAAAAATCAAAAATAAAAATAAATAAAATAAAAAAATTTTTTTATATATAAAATAAAGTTGAAAAATTATCAATGAGTCATGATAATTGTTCAACTACCGGCAAAATTTTCGTATATAATAAGAACTAAACATATGTTTGGCGTGACGTGAACAAGGTAAGGCGACAAGCCTTTGTAAAAACCACGAATTCTTTCTGACCTCCAAGTTTGTTGGACACAGTCCCATGTGCCGCGATAATCATGATGATGATCTTGCAGACGAGCTCGGACAACTTGATAAGGGTACGTTGTCGCTGCAGCTATAAATTTTGATATCGCTGCGAATACTATATACTCCATATTACCCTAAAATTTAAAAAAAAAAAAATTAATTCACAAATAATTTATTTAATTTACAAAAAAAAAAAAAAATAAAAATAAATGCTTACTAATTTACTGTCAATTGGCATGTTACGATAGATATTATATTTATTTTTCATTTCTTCGTATGTCATAAATTGAATAGCGCCGTGAGATACTCCAAATACACCGGGAACGAAGCCCTAATTAAATTAGAATTTAATTGTTAATAAAAATTATTTATAAGTTAAGTATGATAAAAATAAATATATAAATGATTTTACTTTGTATAAGCCTCTGATTCCTTCAGTCCTGTAAATTTTTCTAAGAGCATCCATCATTCCTGAGTAACGCTTCGACTCGGCGAGTTGAACATCAGTGCTGTACTGTAGACACAGTCGTGTTTTCACCACCCATATGGGATTCGTTATTAATAAAGTCAATATACCAGCTTCTGCTGCTGCCAACATTTGCAGCGATGGTCCTAATGGTTTTTTTGAATTCCCCTTTTGGAGCCATGTCTTTATATTGTTATAACTGTAATTATAAGATCAATTATATAAAATGGGGGTTTTTTAAGTGAAATTTAATGTAATTGCAAAGATCTAGGTACATAATTAAGAAATGACCTTGTATCTTGTCAACTAATGATATTTTTAAAGATATAAGCTCATCCTGATGTTACTCTCATCGAGACCTTTCCCTTGAGTACCCACATCAATTTTTCATATATTTCATATATGTTATATATATGTATATATGAAAAATATATCAAAAATGCATGTGGGTACTCAAATGAAAGCTCTTGATGAGTGTAACATCAAAATGAGCTTATATCTTTAAAAACGTCAATATTTAAGAAAGTACAGTGCAATTTAACAAAAATCATTATTTAATAAAGCAAAATTTTATTTATTTATAGTTTACGGCAGTCAGATAGTGTCTGCAAGGTAGCTAATTATTAATAATAAAATAAATTTTTTTAATTATGATTTAAGAATACTTACAAAAAAAAATATAGACCCCAGGAGCTACCAGAGCCTAAAACATTTGGAGTAACTCCTCTGTACAGTCCACGCACTCCATCAGATTTAACAATTTCAGTCAATGCATTTCTCAATCCAGTATACTGCGGTGCTGTTTTGGTCAGTCCATCGTTAACTGTAACAATAAATTATCAATTATTATATCAGTCAATAATATTTTTCAAAAATAATCTTATGGTCCTATAGCTGATAGTAATTTCTGTGGAAATAAAATAATTGAGTAATTTTCTTACGCAATAGTGTCGAATTATTACCAAAATATTTGATTATAAGCCAGCATATTGTACGTTTATATAAAATTTATCTTATTGATTGACTATTAACTAATTCATGAAAAATAACTTAAATTAAACAAATATTTTATCAGAGGAACAAAGTTCACTGGGTTCATTATAATTACTCGATTTATCAATTTCATTGAACACATTTTCGATGTCCCGATTAAATTAATCAGTTCATTAGCATTTTAATAAAAAAAAAATCTCCGAATATTTAATCTTTAGTTTAATTTCTGCATCCTTTAATAAATAATTAATTATAAAAAAAATAATTTAATAGACCAAGAAAAATTAATCCAAGTAGTTAAAACAAATGGGACATTAGCCAATGGTTTATTCTTGGTGTTCATTCTCTTTTATTTTCTTGTTCTTCCTGCAATGTTCTACATACTGACGTCATTAATGATGAAACACACTCTATATATATATTTAAATAAATGTCTATGTCTTAATGTACATTTACATGTATGCACGTATAAATACACGTGTGAGATAATTATTATCTACAGCAGCGTTCGACAAATGTCGCTATCAAAACTCCTAAAAAAATAATCAAACAAAAGATTATTGAAAAACAATTATTGTAAATACATACGACAATAAATAAATAAATATAAGAAAACTAAATTATTTATTCAAGTGTTTTGTTTGTTTAAGATTGAATCAAAGCGACAGAAAGAAGCATATTGTTTAATAATAAAGACTCTAAGTACGTCCATGACCGTCAAAAGTATTAGCGGATTTCGCGAAGTTTCGCTTTCATTGTTCACGTGACTCGCACGTAACATTTAAGTGCTTTTACCTCTCTAGACATTTAAATTGTTTTCATTAAATTTTTATATTAATTTTTCTTCATGTTTTAATAATTATTTTATTATCTTTGGTTGAATAACATTCAAGCTATTTACACTTAAATCGATTCATGGTTTTTCCACTGACCTTCAATAAAAAAATAATAATAAAATAGAAAATATTTTTTTATTTGTAGAAAAAATATACTTAAAAAAATTGACTATTTTTAAATATTATTATCAATAAAAATTATTAGTGCAAATTTATAAAAATATTGTTATTATTGATTTATTATAAAAATTAAAAATTGTCAAATGTCTGATTTTAGTCTCAAAAATTATAATACTAAAGTTAGCCGACGATTATAATTTTTTTTAAATTAAATTAGAACAAAAAAATTGCACTTACAGTTTTTTTCAAGTAAAAATTTTTTTAATCATTTCTTAAAAAAAAAAAAAAAAAAAAAAAAAAAAATTCTAAAAGTTTTAAATGTTGGCCAACTTAATTGTCATCAAAAATTATAGTTACAATTTACTTGCAATAAAATATAAATAATATGAAATTAAAATTAACAGTCACTTGACTATTTTTTTTTTAAATAAATTTATTAAAAAAATTAGATTTTTAATTTTTAAATGTCAATTTTTCGTCATAATTTATTTAATAAAAAATTCTTAGTATTGTTAAATCTCTACTCAATTAATTTAAATGAAATAATAAAAATAATACTAACCAGCGAATCTTATTTTAATAAGATCAAGTGGATGTAGCATGAGGGTAGAAACGACACCTCCCGAAATACCAGCGACAAAATGCTGGTAGTGAAAACTATTCATAACAGAACCAAAGGACTTGGTGCCAGGTGTGGTGGTGGATTTGATGGTGGTCATTGCTGCTGCTGCTGCTGTTGCTGAAGACGATGATGATGATGGGACTGGATTACTGGTTTCTTCAGCGGGTGTCAAAGACTTTGCTGTTTTTATCAAAGTATTCGTTATTGAAGCAGCATGATATTTAGTATTCGTTACCTTAGACACGGTTGTTTCATTAATAATATTTTTACTACAACTGTCATCAGAAGCATCTTTATCACCTTTACTAGCAATATTTCCCGTTATCTTGTTGCATATTACTGGATCTGGTTCAGGCACCGTTTGGCTGATGGCTATCTCGCTATGGGGTAATTTAATTCACTCCGTGGTCACCACGGAGTTTGTTGGTTTTTTTTATTTTAGTTACTTATTTTATGAGCAGGCTTTGATTCAGAGGCTGTTAGTTTGAGTAATTAAAATCAAGTCGCGTACAATCCACTTTCTGCAACACGTTTTTTAGTTCACTCGCAGATCAAATTAATTATGATGAAATAATTAACTAACTCGAGATTGCAGATGTGTATTACGCACGCTGATCGCCGCCATACTAAATTTTCACGCTTACTTTTACTTGTCCATTGTCTCTTTGTTCACTTGTCACTACGCGATTCAAACTCAGGTTCGAAATACGAAATACTGAGGCTCAAATTTACCGCGCTTGCGCTTACACTCGCGCATGCGCGTCGGAATCATAATAAACGGTCAACAATTCAACAATTAATATTGTTTGAAATAAATAAATAAATTGGAGTAATTAAGTATAAAGTGATAAAGATATATATAGAATAATTTATTTAAAAATTTAATATATTAATTACAAATAAATTACTACTAAAAAAAAAAAAAACAAGTATAGATTTTTTTGACATCTACAAGTGCAATTTTTTAGAAAAATTTATTTGTCGACAAAAATCCAAAAATCATCAGATGTCAGCTGACTTCAGTATTATCGAAAACGGAAGTTATTTTTTCGCGTCTCAGAGTACTTGACTGTAGCATACTCATATTATACTCATATTAGCAGTGAGAATCGTAAAGTTTGGTCACAACATTTTAAAAATTTATTGAGTTATTTTATTAAATAATAAAGTGTTGAATTATTTAACAAATCGCCGTTTTTCGATCGAAGAAGTGTAAGCAAGATTTAGTTCAGTTTTATGAAAGATGACAAGTAATAAAATGGAACTAGGCTATTATTCCATGATCAAAAAGCCCTCGGTGGTATTCAAATGGGAAATTAAGTCGCTAATAAAATCCATCGTCCCATGTAACTATGATGATGAAAAGACGTTTTTGATGTCCCCGAGATTTTCTTCAGGTTCCAGTTTCAACGACACCTGGCATATGGAATTGAGTGTTGATCCCAGCAACGATTCAACAATTAAAGAATTGATGTCACTTGAAATAATTTTGGACGAGAACGATTTCCCGGAAATAGCTGCCGATTTTTTTGTATATATACTGAATAAAGACAATAAAAAGTTTGCAGTTCAAGAGCAACTGAAGGATTCAGCTATCCACGAATATTATATCAATAAATGAATTAATGGAAAACAAAGATGATTACTTTATTTCCAATGATATATTGACACTCTGTGTGGAGCTTTCAATTCGTGATGAATATTTTGTAAATATGCTAGTAGTAATAAACTTCCGTCAAAAACAAAGCGCTCGGTCATTGATGACTTGAAGAATTTCTTTGACACCAAAGCCGGTAGTGATATTATTTTAGTTGTGGGCTGTAAACAAATTCCAGCTTATTATATAAAGCTCTCCTGATGGTGCAATGTCCAGTCTTTTACGCGATGTTCACTCACCAGCTGCAAGAGAAGAAAGAAAATAAAGTTAATTAACATTTGTGATATATAGATCCGGTAATTCTGAACAAAATGTTACAATTTATTTATACTGGGCAAGTCTCAGAAATTGACAAGGACTCTGAAGAACTTTTTAAAGTAGCTGATATGTATCAGCTTGATAAACTTAAAATTTTGTGTGTCTTTACGCGTCTTTACGCAAATTGATAACTGTTGATAATGCGATCCGGTATCTAAATATCGCTGATCGTCACAATAACGCTTGTCAATTTTATGAATTTGTTCTTCGTTTCATTGCCATTAATGTGCAGGAAGTAATAGAATCTGAGGACTTGAAGGCGTTAGAAGCTGAAAATTCAGCTTTATCATCAGTGATTTTAAAAAAAAAATATGATCATCCAGTTTTGTGAAACTACTAATAAAATGGAAGTAACAGGCAATTCCAAGCTCAAATAAGTGCTCGGTGGTATTCAAATGGAGCATTGAATTACTACAGCTTATCGTTAATCCTATCCTTGATGAAGGATTAGTGATTTTAAAGTCCCCGAGATTTTCTTCAGGTTCCAGATTTAACGACTCTTGGTTTTTGAATTTAAGTGTTCCCGTCGTAGATGCAGAATTTAAAGAATTTGTTTATGCGGGATTAAACATGGCCGACAGCGAAATCCCAGAAACAACTGCCGAATATTATGTGTATATTCTGAATAAAGACAATGAAAAATGTGGAGTTAAGAAGAAATGCTGCGACAATTTTCAACGTCGATCAGGCTACAGCTATTTTAAAGTTATGCACATAAATGAATTATTGGAAAAGCAAGATGATTACTTTTCCAATGATATGTTGACACTCTGTGTAGAGGTTATTTCAGTTCACGATGGTCTTCAATCAACTAGCAATGAACTTCTGTTGAAAACTTCAAAGTGCCAGGTCATTGATGACTTGAAGATTCTCTTTGACACACTAAAGTCGGTAGTGATATTACTTTAGATAATGCCTGGAATGCTAATCACATCTCACTGGATGATGAACATGTGCATGGAGATAAAATCTTCCCAGAATTAAGAAATTCTTACAGTATGTCAAGTTATGTAGATCCGGATACCAATGACACGTGCTTAATTGTATCAGGTGGTGAGAATTTGAAAACCTATAATGCAGATTCTGAAATTTGGAAGTTTAATTTGACATCTTTAAAATATGGGATTTTCTTGGTGAATTTGGAGACTTGGAACACCAATGTTACTTCCGTCGCTGGGCTTGCGTCACTCCAAGAGGTAAGTTAGTAGGCAAGTTACTTGCGATGAGAGCTCCGATGATCGACGAAGCCGGGTATTTTTATTTATCATTTTTACTTAAATTTAAATAATTAGTCTTATAAATAATTTTAATTATTAATAATTTTTTTTTAGCACGTATTTAGTCGGAAAGTTTACTCAGCTTGGACCAGAATTCCAACGTTAGTGGATATTTGTTGGGATGCCGTGCTATATTATCACCCAAATTTGCCAAATGAATCCAAGGATATTGTTCAAATCAAATTTGGAATTCCTTGGAATTTTCTTCAAGAAAAAATTAAATAATTTTTGCACTTTTTACCTTGGAAATATTTTCCTATACATTTATAAATGAATATAAACTCAGGTTAGAAATGCTGAGCATTTAAAAACACTTTACTTACAATTCTGCTTATCGTGCTCCATAAGATCAAGTGAAGAAAATATTTTAGTTAACAACACTAGTGATGCGTCATTTTGTGGAATATCACGGACCACTTTAACCGGTTTCAGAGGAGAGTTGTTGCAAACGACATTGACATCGTTCTTTGATTTAGTATCTTTATCAAAGTTAGACAAGTCCAGCTTTAAAATACGCTCAAGTATCTGGAGATTTACTTCGCAGTCCTTCAGTTGATAAACACGAAAAATTAAGAGAGCAGAGATTTTTCAGACACTCTGCTACGCGGAGAGTGGATCCTAACTTATGGACTATTCTCAAACTATGTGTCAAGTACATAGATATCTTTTCGTAAGACTCCAGACTGTTCATACTCTGTGATATATGGACCTCATGAACTCGAGAGCAATGTCCAATTTGTACAGCAGGTCTTCTCGAGGAAGGTTATTATACGAAGACAAAAAATTATCTTCTATTAATAACACTCATCAAGACACTCAATGATCGCCTGCTTGTAGTTGTGTTCAACGGAGGAGTCTTCGTATTTCAGTCGGTCTAATAATATATCCATCGCGTAGGTATACGTAGGATAATTTCTGGTGAATAATTTAGTGTTAGAAGACTTTCCAAAGTGTTGTCGAATAAATTTGAAAGTAATAGCTGAGGTGAAAATAATAGCTTGACAAGCTGAATTTGAACATTATATGATGCTCTCGATTATTTCTTCAACGCTAGAGTCTTTTAATTTATCAGCAGACTTCTCGGCGAGAATTGAATACATTGTCTTGATGGTGTGGATTCTTGAACTTGAATTTTTGAATTTGAACTGCGCGGATGTCAAGAATTCTCTTAAAACCTCTAAATTTTAAAGGTTCAGTTGATGATAGCTGAGCAAGTGGATCTCCTGGGCGTACTCCATTGTATCAGGATTTAAATTCTCCAAAAATTTAATTGCCACGATGATTGAAGACACCATATCCATAGAGGGCAGTTCTCCAAGAATTTGATTTCTTTCAAAATTATTTTCCGTTTTTTAAAGTTGAAACTTGAAACTGCAAAGAAAATATCATTAATTAATTGTCATTACTAAATAGTATTTATTTGAGTAAAGTTATTTAGTACTTACCCGTGCTACCACTACCACGAGACATGCGAAGATGGTGCAAGATATTATTAAGCAAATTACAATTTATTGTATCATTTTTATTTTTAATGCTTATAAAAAAATATTAACTGTTAATTTTCATTTTATTATTTTTAAATTAAAAAAAATATATATGTAATTTTTAACTTACCGCTAAGAAAATCGAAGATTTTCAAAAATCAGGAAGTTATTGTTTTCACCTCGTTTTGCAAAAATCGCGAGTTTTCATCCTTCACTTCCTTATTATAATTATCACTATTAAATTATTTACTTATCTATATTATTGTTTTTTATAAAATTTATTCATAAAAAATATGATATTTAATAAAGTTATTAAAAAAAAAAAAAAAAAATCAACTCAGCAAAACTCATTTTTTATTCCATTTAAAAAACATAGTATAGGAAAGGTTAGTATAGTATATAGTACACTTATTTAGCTCCATTGGGGACTAAGCGTCAAATTATCACTACACTAGTCAAGTACTTCTTAATAATTAGAAAAAAAAATATTTAAAAAATAATTTTAATATTATTTGACAGCTGAAGATCAATAAAATTCCAACAATTAAAGTTTATTTTTTATTTTCATTGAAAATAGTTTATTTGCGCGAATTAAATTAAATTAGTCTTCATTGTGAGTTACGTAGTTCAAAATCGCGGCATTTAGTACACTCGTGATTCGTTTGTTGGTTATACTTTTTACTGGGAACTATTTATATATTTATTATTTTAGTTGTAAATAAATTAGCAAAATTAAATTGAAGTGATTGATGGTTGGTGGTAGTAATTTATTTATTTATTTAGAAAAAACAATTTAGTGGTTAATAATGAGCGACTTTCATTCATCTATGAGATGTATTTCACCAAATTCAAGGTAGTTAATCAGTAATCTGTTCTATTTATTTATTTATGTAATGATTTTTTTTTATATTGTAATTGTCAATGAATTTTTTTTTTTTTTTTTTTTTTTCAGTATGCTGGCTCCAAAACCGCAGGTTCAACAAACGCTGGATTTGAGACTAGCACAGACAAGAGTAAGGAATAGTATCACTTGGTTTTTGATCAATGGAGCACTTCTCAGTGTTTTATTATTTGATATGTAAGTTGTATTAATTTTTTTTCTCTATTCCAATTTAATTATTAGAATTAAATTTTTCTAAACAAAAATTGACAATTAAATATTTAAGTAATGAGCTGTTAAAATACAGAATAAAATAATTGACAATTTTAAGATTGCAATTAAAAAATTTAATATCTTTAAAAAAAATATAAGAAAAATTTACGTCATATTTAATTTTATTTGAAAAAATTTGCAGCGATTTCAATTAAAATTCTAAATTAAAAATTTTTAACAATTAGTAATTAATTTTTGAAAACTGATAAAAAATTTAATATTTTCAATTATTTTTTTTTTTTTAGATTGTACGTAGATGCGACGTACAAACAATTCCTCTGGATAGAATGGGTTCTAGTATTAATTTTCGGACTGAATGCTTTGTACCATATAGCAAGTTACATAATAGGAATATTAAATTTACGACCTGTAATGTTAAATCCAGAGCAAAAGAAATTATTGGGAGTAAGTAATGACGAGACCCTGTTCAAGTCAATGTCATCGACCAATGAAACAAAATTATGTCCTGAGCCGATTTCACCGATATTAAACATGACTAGCCCACTAAATTTAAGCCGAAGATCACTGGGGACTTCAGCGTTGAATGATACCAGTGAGTTTTAATTTCTTTTCTATAAATTCTTTTAATTTAATTATTTACTTATTTAAATTTTATTGTAGAAACTTACTCGAGTCCATTTTACTGTGGAGCTGGAAAGTATTCAAGTACCCCGACATCACCCAAAAGTTTGAACAATACGTCAACAAATAACTCGCTGAGTAGATCATTGAACACGTCGATGAACGGAAGTCTTACCGGCGAGGGATTAATTCAAGATGAAATAGAATTACAAAATTATTTGAAAGACGTGACAGAACGCGAGCGGAAGACGAGCCACTCAACAGCGGTGGACCAGCCTTCAAATTTACTGAGTTCATTTTGGTCCCACCCGGCAATGAGGAACCCTGGAGAAATATCTCCGCTGCTACGACGGTGCGCTTATCAATTAGCGCCAACTGTTGACAAGACAAAATCTTCAAGTCCAGGAAACGAAGAAGGAACATCTCCTCGCGGGTACTTCGGTGCTCCGGACGTCTGGCGAAAGTACCGAGTCGACAGTCACAAAGTAAACCAATGGACGGCTAATTTACGCCTGTGGATAAGCAAAACAGTCGTTGAGCGGGTGATGCTCGAAATAGAGGCCGTCAATGCGGCATTGATTCGCCACGGACTCAGTGACTCCCAGGTAGGACACGTAGGGCTAGACCGACTGCGAAAATTAGCCCAGGCTCAGAACATCGTCATGGGAATTCCAACGCTTCCGACTTTGGTGCCTTTTCTCGAGATTTCTAATAATCAGGACTATCTGGTCAAGCGAATCAAGGAACTCGCCAAAGGAGGGTCTATGAGCGAGTTCAAGTGGTGCAGCGGTGAACCCTACAATGGGAAGCCCTGGGAAAATAGTTTGCCAACAGATACAGCTATCATTATGCACCTCGTCTCTTCATACATGGACACTCAGCTGGAAGCTCCTCTAGATCAGCCAGACGCCAGGACGTTTACTTCCAGGTACATGGCCAAAAGTGGATGTGAGCTACCGAGGAATAAAGGGCCTATCATTGTTTGCCAGTCGGTTAATCCTCCTCATTATTGTCTGGCGCTCAGTGGTGATTCTTTGCCTGCTGATTATGAAGAAATTCCACGGGTTAGTTTTTTTTTTTTTTTTTTTTTTTTTTATATTTTTAATCAAATTTTACATGATACTTAAATTAACTAACGTTTAAAAATTTTTTATTTTTTTCATCAATTATAAGCAAAAAAAAAAAGATGAAAATTAAATTAGCCGATATCTAAAAATTTTTAGAATTTTTTTTATTGAAAAAATGATTAAAAAAATAATTTAATTTTTAAAAAACTTTAAATGTAATTTTTTTAAAATATTTTTTCGCTCTAATTTAATTAATGAAAAAAAAAATCATAAAATTAAAGTCAGCTAACTTTTGTATTATTTTATTATTTAATTATTATTATAAAAATTTTTAAATGTCTGTTAAATTCAGTATCATAATTTTATTGTTTATTTTTATAAAAAATTACATAACTAATTAATTAATTTTTTGTTACAGGGAAGAAATAACATGTTCCATACTTTATTACTCTTTCTCTATATTATTAAAACCCGCGATCATGGAATGTTGGGTAGAGTTAATTTAGGAATGTCTGGAATAAATATCCTCTGGGTTATAGACGATTAATAATTAATAATTTTTCTAATTTATTTATTTCACCGTAACATTACCAATAATTGTAATGTAATTTATAATATACATGTTTTTTTTTTGTAATTTGTATAATAAAAAACATATTTTGTGATTAAGTTTTCAGTTGGTGTTATGATTTTGAATTACGCTCTCTTTTTAGTTAACTTCCGCGTGCCTGTAATATTCGTTATTATTGCGTTATGTTTACGTGAGTAAATACATATGGTGGTTTGACGAAAAAAAATTTAATAAAGCAAATAAGATGTATTTTACCAAAGTATTATAATTTAATGTCTAAATTTAGAAAACTTACCATAGAATATAATTGTTTTAAATAATGATTTAAATCTAACCTCAAAGGTAAGAGAAATATTTAAAAAAATTAATTAGAATTTTTTTTTACAATTTTATAATAATGAAATTATTATGAAAAAAATTAAAAAAAAATTTTAGAAGTATTTTTTTTATTGTAATTAATTTTTTATAAAATTAAAATAAAATAAAAAAATTGACAGTTTTTCAGCTAACTTCAGTATGATGTAAGAATTATTTTTATTGATTGTTAATAAGTAAATAAAATTTTATTTCAGCTGATTGCTATAATTTAAAATGGACGTAAGCACATTGTTTCGAGCTAGCGTAAAGAGCGTAAGCATACGTCAAAAGGCGTTGGACGATGACAAGTCAAAATTATTTCCTAGGAAACTACGTCATGAGTCAAATTTCTACAAAAAATCTCTAGCAGTCACCACCCAAATAACGAGATTGAAAGAATTTTTATTAGAAAATAGGTCTGCATATTTAAATTTCTCCGGACATTTGATCAGCCAGCCGAGAATGAGCGACGCTGAACGCGATAAGATTGACAATGGAGCCCAGGAGATTATCAGCAAGTGCTCGCAGTTGATAAAAGAACTGAAGCGAGAAGCTGCTGACACAGATGTATCTCAACAGCATCACGAGCATCAAGAAATAATGCTGTTTTTAATTGACGAGTATTTAAAAAATGTATGCAAAATTTATTCTGAGCAAAAAGCTATCCGGGTTAAAAAAATCCTCGAGCTGAAAAATTTGTCCAAGTTGGAGCTCAATATTAAATCGATTGAAGAAAATTCTTATAAGCCTCCTTTGAATTCTGTTGAAGAAAAAAAAAACTCGTCGACTAGCTCGAGTCCCCTGAAGGTCCAGGAGATGAACGGAGACGTCAACTCTCTGGCATACGAAGAACAATTATCAACGGAGGATGTCCAGATGTTTGAAGCTGAGAATGAACAGCTGTACAATGAATTAAATACTATCACTGAAGAAGTCAAGCAGATTGAAAGCAAAGTCGTTCATATTGCCGAGCTCCAGGAAGTTTTCACCGAAAAAGTCCTGGCACAGGATCACGATCTAGAGAAATTGGTCACTACTGTTGTCGGCTCCACGGAGAATGTCAAGGAAGCGAATGAGCAAATTCGTCAAGCTATTCAACGCAATGCTGGACTTCGAGTTTGGCTGCTCTTTTTCCTGCTGGTCATGTCCTTTTCCCTTCTGTTCCTCGATTGGTACAATCCTTAAATAAAATAACTAAATAATAATTAAGATTTAAATATGTATATGTTTTTTACACAAAAAGGTTTAAAATAAATCAGATCTGTGATTTGCCAAAATATGCCAATATATTTTAATTATTATCACCAGAACAATTGTACATACATAACTACTGCTTATGAAAAATGAAATATTGTATGGAATAACATACTCAATTTATCATTATTATTATTTTTTTACACGTTACATGTTCATGTACCAAAATTCTAGTAGTTTTATTTTTAAATTAATATCATTAATTGTAAATTATTTAAATTGTATATAAATTCTCCACTGCATAAAAATAATTCTATAAATTGATTTACAGAGAAGACTAAAAAAAAAATAGCTAAAATTACAAGAAATTTATTGTAAGGATTTTTTTTTTCATAATAACGTAAAATATGAACCTTTTCTGGAATACAAAAAAAAAAAAAAAAAAAAAAAAAAAAAGATATTATAATAAAAAATATATATAATTAAAAAAAAAAAAATATCTGATAAAAGTTTTTATGATGAATTTGTTGATGTCTCCGTGATTTGTTTTTTGTGTTTACAGCGTTCTTCCAAACCTGGAACAGTAGCGCCTTCGATGATGCACTGTACAACCCAGGTAGTAGACACCAGAGGAACATCATAATTAGCAGCCTTATCCTCGACCCAACCCGGACAATTTTGATTGGTCACCACGACAGTTGCGTCGAAAAATTCATCTTTGGGTGACTCGATCAACTGGACAACACCTCCAGCGTTTTCAATGACACGCTTCCAAAAGTCTACTGACGACTCCGAGACTGATATCTTTGGTATCACGACTTTGAGATGTTCGAAAGGCATGTTACCTTGGCGTTCAAGGTTCTTGATGTAGTCTCCTAGCCTGATGCTGTACCCAGCAGGCAGCTCAGACGCTTCGGGACTGCCGAGTTTATTGGCAATGCAAGACGTGATGATCCACTGATGATTGTAGGGCATTATGCCTACCGAGAGGCACAGCAAGCTAGTGGCTGTGATGTTAGGAACGTTGGTGATAAGCTTGGTCTTTTTGTACTCAGCTGGTGGGATTTCATCAAACGAGTTGTAGACATGCCCGCCACCAGCGGTAATTTGATCCACCAATCTCTCTCTTAGGAATGGAATGCTCGACCACTCGCGCTCGTAATCAGTTTCTTCTTCAGAGTACTCACTCGACACCGGGTTGGCTTGTTTTATGGCGTCAATACTCTCCAGTGGCGCACAAGTCAATATAAAATTCATTCCCTTGAACAGAGTCGACCCAGCCGGGGGGATTGGTCCGAACTTATTAATAGTCTCATCATCATCATCAGCCTTCTTCTTGCTTTTTCCCTTACCCTTGATCCTGCTAGACGGACCTTTGGACGTAGACGCGCTCGAAATTCCTGCAATTTCCGGGTTTATCTCACCCAGTTCAGTGACATCTTCGTTTTTGGCGTCTGAGTCAGAAGTATCAAAGCTTTTTTTCTCTGAAATTGAAGGTTTGCTTCCACTCGTGCTCTGAGACTGTCCCCGTGACCTCAACGCCGACGGACTAGTCTTTTGTCTTCGAGATCCCTCGATTACATTGTCCAAAGTTATTTTTTCAAAATGTGGAGTCGCTTCGGGATTCACCAGCTCGGTTTCTTTTAGAATTTTGAATTGGTCTGGGGTTAAAAATAAATCTTTTGTCGTATTACGTACCCTTCCCTTGTCCTCAGTGTCCACGTGGTACCAAATTTCGTCATCAATTTTCTCAACTCTCTGGATAACTCCAGCAGTGTCATACTTTTCTTTTTTGTCAACTACCATCGCGTGGACTAAAGTATTTGGCGACAGTGTGTCCATGACAACATACACAAAATTTTCAGCGACTACCTTACTTTTTTCATCAAAGAAAACAACTTTTAACTTTGTTTTATTTTTACTGACAATTGTCGCTGGATAAAAAGTCCCGTCAGACCATTTAGCAAAGCAGATTTTGCCAATACGACTGTCAGACTCCTCGTCGCTAACAGGCGCTTGATTCCTGAGAATGCTCAAAGATCTAGAGCTGGCTCTGCTGGGCGTAGAAACATTCGAGTTGATTTTATCTTTCTCCTTCTCCTTCTCCTTCTCCTTTTCTTTCTCCTTCTGTCGTTTTTGTCCTTCTTCTTGCAAATAAATAGCTTCTTCAGCGGCAGCCTTGGTGGCTCCATTAGCCCTTGACCTGGTGCTGCGAGTTTTGGTCCTCTTAACAACTTTTCCTTTTTTACTGCTCTTGGGAGTCGACAAAACTTTAGTCTCCGGAGTCGAGGAAGTGATCCTGGTCAGGGAGCCAATGTCATTGCTGCTGCCATTGTGAGCAGACAGGTCATTGATAGCTATTTCATGGTTCAAATGATCTACCACGCTGGTTGTGATCAAGTCAACATTGCGCCATCCAACATGCTTCGGAGACTCGGAACTTTCATCGATTGTATTCATGTCTCCTTTTTTGGCATGCTTTGCAAATCCTCGAGGCAAAGAAAATGGATTTAACTTCGTTGAAGATTCGTTAGACTTGACCGAAGACGCGTACGAGGAAGAACTGGAAGAACTTATTGTTGATATAATAGAGTGACGGCTACCTGGTAATGCGTAAGGAAGCTGAGTATTGCTGGTCACTGATGACGGAGAAGTCGGGTCTTTAGTATCAGATGCCGAGACGTCTGCCATGTTAGATATGTCGCTGTTGATACGGCTGGGCGGTAAGTGATGTTCCCCATAATTGTCGCAATAAACTGAAGTAACTTCCTTACTGACGCATTCTTTATAATTCTGACTATCAACGTGCAGCAGGCATTTTACCTTTACAATTACAGTGAATTCTTTTTCCACTGTTTTAATTTTTTTAACATCGATTGAAATGTCAGCTTCATTATCGCTGGGCAGTGTCACCACTGGAACGTTATCCTTGACAATGATATCTACTTTTACTGATTCGTCACTTAAATCCGAGGGAACACTGGCAGTTCGATCACTCTCGGAGCTTTTTGTTGAATTAGTCCCGTTTGATATTTTTGATTTATTGACAATTGTATTGGAGTCCGAGCCCTGGGAGGCTTCATCTTCCTGAGAAGAATCAAGGACTATTTTCTCCCCGTCCTCGTCCAGCTCGACAACTTCTTTAGGCTTCGTTGGCGCTAAAGATTTATCAAAAATAACTTCTATACTCTGTCTTGATTTTTTTGAAACTTCAACGCTAGATTTAGCAATTAATTCACTGGGTACTGTGTCTTTAGCCTCGTCTTCCTCTAGCTTTTTGTCTTCCAAGACACTCTCCAGCGCCTGGGATAGTTCCTGAAGTGTTTCACCATTGTCTGCGATGTCTTTCTCCAGGACCTCTTCAAGGGCTTTGACAGTATTTTCGTTGGCATCTCCAATTTTTTCTTTTGCCTTAGCTTTAGCCTTATTATCTTCCTCAGAAATCTGGTCTCCCAGAGAATTCTCACAGTCAAGCGACTCTGGAGCAGCATCACTTTCTATTTTTTGTACTTTCGCAACAGGCTCTTCAGACCCATTTCTCTTGGCCATCGGCCTTTTCAATGGCGACACGCGTTCATCCGTAGGAGTCTCTAAAATTTCTTCCTCCATCTTCTCAATTTTTTCGATTTTCTCATTTTTATTATCCTTGTTATTGTCCTCGGTAATTCCCGGAGTCTTTGCTCCAGAATCTTCAGCAGCTCCACCATCTTGGACCGCGTCGTGCTCCCGCGCTTTTGCCGGCAATTCTACACAATACTCATAAATAAATACTCAGCCAACAATAATTGAATAAATAAATAAATAAAATACGTTACCCTCTTTGTCCTTGAGTTCACTATCAGCAATTAAAGACTGCTGCGAGCAATCAAAGTCTGTAAGTGTAAAGCTCTGGCTATCATTTACTTTAGTAGACGCGTTTGCCAGCACATTCTCAGCATCTTCAGTTTCCACAGATTTATTATCGGCAGATGTTTCCATCGCGGTTTTCACCGGCTCTGACATTAAAAATAATTAATAAACACACTAATTATTACTTATTTAGATATTAATTTTATTTTATTGGTTAATATTTTTTCTCCCGGGTAAACTGGCATAGAATAACTTTTTTGTGCTTGCCGTTGGCTCTCCAAAGACACACCAATAAAAGATAACCTTTTATTATCTCTCTATTTTTTTTTTTTTACGACAACGCCCCGTAGTTAAAAAATCTCAACTACCAAGACAGTGTAGATGTCGCTCTTATCGGTTGGAGTTATTTTGTTATTTTTAACAGCTGTCAGTGAGGAAGAAATAATAATAAAGTTATTTCGAAAAATAACCTATTCATCTAAAAAATTCAAAATTTAAGGGCCTCAATGTTGGCCATCTATAATAATAATCATTTACTTTAGTAGACGCGTTTTTTTAGAACATTCTCAGAATTTTCAATTCTCATAAATTATTCATTATCGGCAGATGTTCCCATCGCGCGGTTCTCACCAGCTCTGACAATTAAAATAATTATAATAAACACACTAATTATTTTAAAAAGCAATCTATTCATGTAAAAAAATCAAAATTTAAGGGCCTCGATTGTTGGCCGAGCGGTTCAATGCAAAGTGGCGCAAGGGGCGGGAGTTCGATCCCCAGCGAGTCGAAAGATACCCTGATAACTGATAGCCAGCGCTTTCTCAGTAAGCGTTGACTTCCAGCAGTTACGGTTAATTTATACATCATCAAGTTGGCGGTAATTCTTCACTCAACAACAGTTGTAAGCAAATTGACGGAAATCTATGGCCGCAACTTGAATACAAATTAGCAATCAAACTTGTAGTTAAATTTCCTTTCAACTTTACTACAATTTGACGGAAATACTTGTACAGCAAGTTTTGACGTCTATTTGGAGAGTAAGTTATAGGTAACTAATAGGTAATCGCTCGCTTTGCCAACTCTTTCCGTCAAGTTTGCTTCAAATTGCGGACGTAGTTATTGACAGTAAGTTATAGATAAGGTGGCTATCAGGGTATATTTTTTTTTTTTTCACATTTTTCACATGCTGATAACACAGCTCTCCCACCACACAGCTCCAAACGGCCATATGAGAAATATAGAAATATACTCCCAGTGCCAATAGAATTCTATTCTATTCTAAAAGGCAACCAAAATAGAGTGTGTATACTCTCTCTTGTCTGACGACGGATTAATATATAGTTAGTGGTTTTCAATAAAAGCTGTTATGTGTTGATGTTAGTTTTATGTCACACACTTTTAATCTCTCGGAGTAACAACGTGGTGATCGCGCAATGAACAACTAATTTATCTTCCGTATTTATTATTTTTTTACCAACTAAAGTGGCTTCCACTTAAAAACAAATAACAATAATAACCTGACAATAATGCATTTATTTAGTTATTAATTGAATAATTAATTAATTAAATAATTTATTTATTTATTTATTTATTTATTTATTAGTTGCGAATGCGAATTTTAAAACTGAGTGCTGGATAACTGGAGACTGGAGAATTCAAGAGTGTTTGTGTTTGTGTTGAAGAAAGATGGCAGCCGCATTGACCGTCGAGCAGGAACAAGTAAGTTTATTATTTATTACACATTTATTTATTAGCTTATCATGCTAAATACCAGAGTGTAAATCAATGAGAGTTATCTTTCCGCTGAAAGTTTTATTATAACTTTTCAAAACGTCATTTTGCGGCTTTATGACAGCTAGCTCCAAATTGTCTAGAATAATTATTTATATTTATTATTCTTTGATTATTAATAATCTGAAATTAATTTTTATTTTTACCCTTAGGAAGATAAATTGGTTTAATAAATGATAGATAAATCGGTGAGAAGAAATAGTGACAAGGTAACAAATGATCTAATGTCACTGGCATGAAGATGATAATTGTAATTGTAATTTATTGTCTTGTCTAATAAAAAAAAATTTGTCCGTGGTTAATATCCTCGGCATCTAGAGGCAATATTATAAAATACAGAGGGTGGGGTACCGGAAATAACGCCGGGATGAGAGGGGCAACTCACTAACGGAAGTAATGTTGGTATTCCAAGCATGTATGACAAAAAATGTCTTGAGACTACGAGTAATAAACCGGAAAATATTCAATATGTATTTTCCTAGAGCCTTTGTATTTTCCGATGCTTTATATCATCTGTAACTACATCATATTATAATAATTAATCTGATTTATTTATAACAATCTGTCTTGAGTAAATATTAATAGTAATTGTCAAATTGATGATATAAAATATAAAAATAGTTAAAGAGTTATTGACATCTAACTGGCTTTAATTTTTTAACTACAATCGATTGCTCGGTTATAAATAGATCGACAATAAAATATAATACACGGGTAAAATTTTATATGTAATGTGTTATTATATTATTTATACTTAAGGAGTAATTTGCTATTATTCCACTCTACAAATTATGAAATGCTTTCTAAATTTTATTAATTATTTAGAAAATTTATTTATGGATCTATGACACAAGATTTTTTTTTTTTTTTTTTTTTTTTTTTTTTTTTTTTTATAATAGAACAATTTTTTTAATATGACAATGTTTTTTATTTTTAGGCAACAAAAGAATTTATTGAAGCGGTAAATAAATGTCGCGCTGGTAGAAGAGCAAGCCCGGTGTCCTGGAGTACGGCTGTTAAATTTTTGACAGCACGTAAATTTGAAGTACCACGTGCATTAGCGTTGTATGAGCAACACGAGGCAACAAGACGTCGTGAAGGTTTGGCAACTCTTCATCCGACTCAAGAGCCACTTCTTTCAGAATTACGTACTGGTAAATTCACCGTACTGGTAAGTTTATATGAAAATTAATCTATCAGAAATTTAAAAAAATTAAAAATGCAATTTTTTTAAATTAATTTTTCTCTAGAAATTTAATTGAAGTTTATTATTTACAAAATATACATCTGATAAAAGTAGACACACATACTTATGCACATCAATTAATCTGAGAAGAAAATATTTAAATAAAAAATCTATTTTTAATAAAAATGAAGTTAGCTGACATTTCAAAATTTTTAGAAATTTTTTATTGAAAAAATTTCAATTAAAAAATTAAAAAAAAAAATTCACATGTAAAAAACTTTAAAAACTACAAGTGTAATTTTTTAGAAATATCTTTTTAGTTGTAATTTAATTAAAAAATCAAAAATTTTTAGACGTTTGCTAACTTCAGTGTCATTATTTTTATTAAAAAATTTTTCCTCAGTATTAAAAATGATATGTATCTCATATATTTGATGTGTAAAATATAATATACACGATGTATAATATGATGATACGATATAGGATATATAAAATAGACTATTACATCATCAGCTTATTCACACGTATTATGATGACAAATTAATCGTTGTTTTAGCCATCAAGAGACGGTACAGGTGCAGCAATCGCTATTTTTACAGCACACTTGCATCTACCTCAATGTACAACTCATCAAACAACTCTTCAGGTTTGCTAAAATATTATTTTATTATTATTTACTGTTACTGCTGCTTAAAGCTCAAAATAACAATATAATTACAGCCTTTTATTAATAGTTCCTGAATTACAATAGCGCTTCACTCTTATTTTGACATTTAAATTAAATTAAATTAAATCCCTCAAACACTGGGAGTAAATAATAGCACTGCATTAATTAATTAACGACAAGCTTTATTTAACATATATTTTATATTGCAGGGTGTAGTTTATCAACTAGACGCCGCGCTGGAAAGCGCAGATACACAAAAGCACGGATTAGTATTTATTTATGATATGTCCGACAGCAAATACCAGAATTTCGATTACGATTTGTCGCAAAAAATTCTTACACTACTCAAGGTAATTTATCAAGCTGTGATTCAGTCTCTGATATAGATCATCATATATATATATATATATATATATATATATATAGAATAAAACAAATAACACACTCGTTATCTCCATTAAAAATAGACCAAATTATTAAACTTCCTCTACAAATAATTCGTATCCTCAATAAAAAATTTTTTTTCTTCAACAAATAAATTAACTGTAATAAATTTTTTTTTTTTATTTTAGGTAAAATACTTGTTCAAGTTTTAAAAGCATAAAGTATACTTTTTAAACACCTTGCGTGCAATGTAAGATACATTACCTCGGAATATATGTATAAAGTGCCTAACACGTACCGAGTATGCAAGAAACATTAATAGATAACACTCTCCCTTGGTTGAGAACGTCACTCACCCTTACCTAAAGTACCAACACACTGACATACTATTTCTCCTACTATTATTATTATTATTATTATTATTATTATTATTATAATCTTCATATACATGCATACACGCATTGATATAAACCTACACACACTTTTAGGAATATTCATCCCCTTAAAACGGTGAGCGAAGGCTGTGAGATGAAAAGGGAGAGAAGAGAAGATTTTCCTTTGGATGAGCTGAGGCGGTACGGCGGTACCAGTAGTCGTGCAACCCCAAAACGAATAAAGTTAAAAAGAGGGTTCTTTTGAGGCCTTTCGGCAACTACCCGTCGACGAAGACGACAAATCGCGCATGTCCGTGCTCGTAGACGTCACAGCGTACGACGACGCTCGAGGTTCGTCGGTCAGTAGTCGTTGTCGTAACTTGCTATCTACTCCATCAGTAACGACCGCTCGGATAAAATACACATATATATTTATACATACGTAGATATATTTTTGCATAGTGTACACTGGTCCTTTTTTTTTTTTTTTTCTACAAAGGTATTCGTTAGCCTTCTTTAGATCTCTAGTTTGTTGCTTTGTATTTTTATCTGCATACCTCATTAGAGATTCAATACAATTATCCGAGGTATACAATTATTACTTATTGTAGTGGATAAATTTTACCTCGGCTCGATCCAGCTGTTTCTCGCTTTATTCCCGTTCTTTTTATCCTTTTTAGAGTCTATCCTATTCGAGTGTACTGGCAATAGGAACACTAATCGAGTGTTATCGATTCACGGACAGACTACGTCCTACCGTTTGTGAATTAACCTTTTTTTATTCATACGATTATTGATAAAAAGTTCCCTTCAATTAATGACATTTAATCGTTAATTTTAATTAGTTTGTTTTTAATCACCCGAACGGTGTATCGAGTGACTGTTAATTGTGGTCTGGTTATTTTTAATCATAAAAGTGTGCCCTTTTTCCTGCGTAATTAACAGAATAATTACGGCTTGTGGATATTTATTGACGATCTATACACCCGCTATAAATTATGTATAATAGTCTCACTTTAATTTGATTAATTAACACCAGAGTGACGTTATACCTGATACGTGTAATTTACTTTTTTTTTTGGGGGGGGGGAGGTTTTAATTATATAAAATATTTTGTCTGAAATTAAATTTTAATTAAGACCAGAAAAATCAATAGAAAAAATTTAATATATTACGTTTTATGTAATTTTAAAATACATGTTTTCCAAGAGAGTTCTGGGTCATTGGAATGAATCCAAGTTTAATGTCGTCGCGAAATTAATAATAGAAATACATTAAATTTATCCGTGAAATTATTTAGCTGTAAATTTAGATTTAAGTATCATTTTTTTTTTTTTTTTTTTTATGTGATTGTAATTAATTATGGTGTTTTTTTTTTAGGGAGGGTATCCGGCTAAGTTGAAGAAAGTCCTGATTGTGACGGCACCGCTGTGGTTCAAGGCTCCATTTAAAATTCTACGTTTATTCGTCAGGGAAAAATTACGGGATCGTGTATTTACAGTGTCAATACCTCAACTGACACTTCATATACCCCGAGACTCGTTGCCTCAACGTTTAGGCGGTACTTTGGAGATACAGCATGAAGCCTGGCTGTTACATTGTCTCAAGTCCATGACGAATCGTAGCGGTGGTGAATTGTGTGAGGTAATTTATTTTTATTTTTTAAATTTAATAGTGTTAAACATTTTTTTTAAATAAAATATCAATTATTTTTATCTAGAGACACTTAAATTGTTTGATGAAAAATTTTTAGCAATTAAATCATTGTAAAAAAAATTTAATTTAAAAACATTTTTTTTTTTTTACAATAATTGATTTTTCATAAAAATTAAAAAAATAAATTTTATTTATTAGTATAGATAAAAATAATTGAAAATAAATAAAAAAAAAACCTTCTTATAAATGAAAAGCATTTTTTTAATAATAAAAAAATATTTTTTGAACTAGGTTACCCCGAGAGTGGGTAGTCCTCTATCACCGACATCAAAGTCGGCAGCAGAAAGCCCGACAAATGAAACAACAAACAATGTTGTCAGCAGTAGCAACTCAACAAGTCCAATAAGCGAGAAGCACAAAATAAAAAATGGAAGCGTAACAATCGGCGACATTGAAATAACAAATGGAGACAGCTGGATAGCAAGTGATGAAGCGCCGTCACCAGTCCAGCCGCCTTCATCAGCGAGCTCCGGGTTCAGCGACGACGACAGTCTCCACGGGGACCTGGGCTTGCAAGCAGTGACAATGGAGCAGCTCGTTGAAGCAATTCACTCCCGCGGACGTGCCGGTCTAGTAGCTGAGTACGCAGAAATAAGACAAAGGCCTCCCGATGGTTCATTCAATAACGCGAAATTGCGTCAAAACCAGCCAAAAAATCGATACACCGATGTACTGTGCTACGATCACTCGAGAGTTTGTCTGTCTCAAGTTGACGGTGATCCTTCGTCGGACTACATCAATGCCAATTTCGTGGATGGTTACAAACAAAAGAACGCTTTTATCAGCACACAAGGACCATTACCCAAGACTTGTGGGGACTTTTGGCGGATGGTCTGGGAACAGCAGACTTTAGTTGTTGTCATGACTACCAGGTAAAATTTATTCACTGGGTTAATTAATCGCTAAGATAAATTCCTCACTATCACTGATAAATTTATTTTTCTGGCAGAGTTATTGAACGAGGACGGACTAAGTGCGCTCAGTACTGGGGTCCTGAGCCAGGTGATGAAGTGTCTGCCGGTGGTTTTACCGTCACGACACTTGAAGTTGACACTAATCCGGATTACACGATATCTATGCTGCTTTTGACCAACAACAAGGTTTCTTAGACTTACTGATAAATATTTTTAAATATCGCGTAACTAAATCCAAAATGTTAAAAAATCACCCTCTAAAAAATAAGGAGTTAGATCAATGCTAATTAGACCGTTAATATGCCTTTTTGACTTTGAAATTTTTTTTTTTTTTTTTTTAATGCCAAAAGGGCGTCTGTTGAAAAAAAAATTTTTTTGACTTTAGTAACGCGATATGTTCAAAATAAATGTATTATTAACAGTTTTTTGCTTACTTTTTTTTTAGACTGAAGAAACCCGCGAAGTTTGTCATATGCTGTACACAGCTTGGCCAGACTACGGAGTACCACAATCAGCCAGAGCTCTTTTACAATTTCTTTCGTTGGTGAGACAACATCAGACCAAGCTGCTTGCTAGCAGGGGAGATACTTGGGCTGGTCATCCTCGAGGACCACCAATTGTTGTACATTGTAGTGCTGGAATTGGTCGTACTGGTAATTAAAAATTATATTTAAATTTTATCAACAGTTATTAACATTCGGTATGATTTCAGGAACATTTTGTACATTGGATATTTGTATATCTCGCTTGGAAGACACAGGAACCGTGGACATACGCGGTACAGTTGAAAAAATCCGAGCCCAGCGAGCTTACAGTATTCAAATGCCAGATCAGTATGTGTTTTGTCACCGCGCTCTCGCAGAATATGCACTTTCTCGGGGGATGCTGGAGATTCACCATCTTGCCATGTTACCACCTACCATTGAGGAAGACTCTGACTAGGTTACCAGATTAGTATTTTAGATAATCATCTCGATTGTATTCCAATTGTTCTCTCCCAAACTTCTGAATCTTTACATCAGCCTGATCCTTTGATTGATTAATATAAGTATTTAAAACTATCGGCTCTCTATTAAACAAATCGGTGATTTATTTGCAAAACCTGTTTCTCTAGTCTTGCTAACTAAATTATTTTCCATTAAAAATTCATTTGTGTAACCAAAGAATATTTTTTTATCAACTTTAAAAAAAATTCCATCAGGATTTTATTGAAATTTTTTTATCGACTTTTGGTTTACCAGTTTATCTATCGACACGCGTAAATTCATTAATTTTAATGAAAAAAAATTAGACTGATGAAAAAATATACTTACTAACGATGGAACAATTTTAATTATTATTAAATAATATTGAAGACGTATCCAAGTGGCTAATTACTCTCCACTATTTTTCAAATTATCAATATCTTAAACGATTAAATTTTTTCTAATCGTCAAAATACGTTCTTCCTTATACTCGAAATATTTATAATAAATAATAATTATAAATTTAAAAAAAAATTAATAAACAATCAACCGGACGATATACAAGTAGATTTCTAAAATTAATATTACTATTATAAATAATTTAATAAATTATATTAACTCGCTGTCAGTAGATTTTGCATCTGAAAAAAAATCCTGTGATCTTTAAACGTTACACAAAAAAAAATTTGTGAACAAAAAATATTAATGGAAAAAAATGAATTAATTAATTAATAATAAATAAATATCAAAAAAATTATATAAGACAAATATACATGAATATTTTTAAAGAAAAAGTAAATAAATAAAAAAAAAAAAAAAACGTTTAATATATTTTGCGCCATTAGCCGATTTATTTTTTTTGAATTTTTAAAAATCGTAATTAAATAGGCTCCGATATTAAACAAATTATAAATTTATAAAAATTATGAGAGAGCATAAATTATTAAAATTATAATTGTCAAATTAATAAGACGTATTTTTGAATTGTGATTAATTACCGGTTATAAGATAAATTAGTTAAATGTTTTTCTTCTTTTTTTATTTATCACTATAATCAATTTATTTTAATAATTAAAGAATTTAATATTGTAATATTTATATCTTTTAATTATTACTTGTTTATATAAAATATCAAGGGCATACTTTTATATATAAATTATATATTAGTTCATGTTAATTCCATTTATTTATTTAATAATATTATTTCAATTGTTTTAGATTAAAAATATTATTGATTAATAATTAACAATTATAATAATTAAATTTCATAAGACTCGAAGATCAGTATTCTTTTTTTTTGTTTAAGATACTTGATCAATTATCATTTATAATTAATTAAAAAAAAAATTAAATAATATGTAATATTGTTGTACAATTAATGCTTGGAGCGGATTATGTAAATTTTATTTTAATTATTTGCCATCGAATAATTGAATTTGTATTAAAGGTTTTGCCTTAAAAATTATTGTAACGCCTCTTATTAATAATTAATAATTAATAACAATTGTAATTCGAGTTAACCCGGTAAATTGAAAAAAATGAATGATCGTTGTGTGTACCAAAAAGTACTGAATAATTGTGTCTATACGTCCTTGCTACAAAATAATACAATTATAGCTGATATGAAGTATCTAAATGACTATTAATTGTAAACGTTAAAAATTGATGTACAACATTTTTATAATAACAAATGTAGTTGATTATCAATGATGTGTTTTTCGTAAGAGAATTTGTTTATTATTATTAAAAAAATAATAAAAAAAAAAACAAAAATGTATATACCATGACTCTAAATATTGTCGCACATATTATTTACCTAATAATTATTTAATATATTGCAAATAAAAAAAAAAAAAAAAAAAAAATTGTGTATTTATTTCAATCCTGGAAATTTTTTGTTAAAAAATTTTTTAAAATTGACAGCTGTCAGACTTCACTATCATTTTTAACCAACTTATAAAAAAAAAAAAATGAATATTTTATGAAAAAACAAAATAGTAAATTTAAAAATAATTTTTTCTAACAATTAAAAATTTATATATAATATATAAATTAGCGTTGACATATGTCACGTGTCAAATGTTTTTTATTAGTCATATTTTTGTTTTAGTCAAGTAGGTGTTGGTTTTATCAATGTCCTTAGAAAAATTATATTATTTATTTATATTTATAAATAAAATAATAATTAGATAAATAATGGATGAGTTAAGTGCACAGCTGATGGATGATATTGTCCTGGAGCCAAGAAATAAAACAACCGAGTAAGTAAATTAAAATTCTAACCTCAAAATAACCAGGTTATAAATAAAAATAATGATGATAAATTTAGCAGATATTTTAACCTTTTTTTTTAACAAATAAATTTTGGTAAAAAAAAAAAAAATATTAAAAAAATTGACATGTAGAAATTTTGAAAAATTAAAAATGCAATTTTTTAAAAATTATTTTTTGGAGCAAATTTTTTTGTTAAAAAAAAATTCTCTAGTGACTGCTAATAACTTTAGTGTCACATAAAAATATTTTATGACATTGAAATTAGCAATTTGTTTATTTTTAACAAATGAATTATTTTTGAAAAATTTTATTTTTTTTTTTTTTAATTTCTAAAATGTCAATTTTGGTTTTTAATTTTTTTGCCATAATTTATTTAATAAAAAAATGATGATCTGCTAAATAAATATTTTGGATTTTCTATTTTAGAGCCCAAAAAAAAGCCCCAGCAGCCAAGAGTTCAAGTACAAAATTACCTCCCCCAAAACGAGCTCTAAAAGTTGAGCTTCAGACGCTGAGAATATCCGACGAGTCCGAGAGGCAACTGTTCAACACATTGAAGCACGTCTACGGACCCTCGTTCAAGCTGAGCGATGCCTCGGACTTTGAGAATAACAAAAGAAGCGGCCTGGACACGCAGTATTGGAAGGAGCGGGGCAACCTGGTGATCCGTGAGATAGTCGATTACTCTTCCAAGGGTCCAACTCCCCAGGGCAATGAAGCTCTGACGCAGCGGTTTGCCTCCTCGAAGCTCGAGAGCTACAGCTTCCACCCCAACCACTGCAAAGAAGCTCTGGCCTACAGTGACCGGAACTTGGGTCGTGCTCTGGAAATTCTTTTCGAGAAATATTACCGCGTACCTGACAGTTCTGTTGAAGACGTCGACGTCAATGACATTCTGGAGAAGCGGAACGACGAGAAGTTGGCGCTAGAGTCAATTTACGGCGAGATGTTTTCTGAAAAAATTAGAAACCGTCTCTGGGTGGTAAACTTGAAGCTGGATTATTTAAGTAAAAATTCTGATGAGACAGCTAAGAAAAATAATAGTAAAAAAAATAATAATTATAGTAGTAATAATAATAATAATAATAATAATAAAAAAAATAATCTTTGTAGATTATTTTTGAGCGGTAAATGCAGGTTCGCAGATAGGTGTAAATTTTTGCACCAACAACCGGAGCCCAAGCAAGATAAAGTCGCTGTGAAAGATAACTCGGAGTATTGTCTAGAAATTAGATTCCCAGAAGCTAATAAATATCCTTACGAGCCGCCTTACATGTACTTATACAAAAGCGACGAGATGATGGCTTACCCGGATATAAAGTACCTGATGATTGTAAAGAGACTGTACGAAGAAGCTCTTGAGCATTGTAACGGCGAGTCATGTTTATTTACTCTGATTTCTCTTCTAGAAAACGCGGAAGATATGTTGGAGTACTTGAACACTCACCAGCCGGATTTTATAGACATGTACGAGTCGTTGTTCACCAAAGCTCCTGAAGAAGTCGCCGAGCTGTCGACTCATCACCAGAAAGGCTCCGTAGGCAGTCGAACTAAAAGTAAGTTATCCGAGGAGGAGATCATCAAGCAAGACGACACTATTTGCAAAAGATTCATGGAGAAAAACAGCAACCCGAAGTTCAGAAAAATAATCGAAGGACGCCAGAAGCTGCCGGCTTGGAAAATGATGGATGAAATTATTGCTACAGTGGATACCAACCAAGTTACCATTATATCCGGAGAAACCGGTTGCGGAAAAAGTACCCAGGTGCCACAGTTTGTTCTGGACGACTGGATTATCAATAGAGGTGATAGTAAGAGTCATGGAGAGATTATTTGCACACAGCCGAGAAGAATTAGTGCCATTGGGGTGGCTGAGAGAGTCGCTTTTGAGCGGGATGAGAAGGTTGGTAGCACGGTGGGCTACCAGATTCGCCTGGAGAGCAAGATGTCCAGCTGGACACGATTGACTTTCTGCACAACGGGTATTTTATTACAGCGAATGTCCGGCGATCCGACACTTAAGTCAGTGACGCATGTTATTGTTGATGAGGTCCACGAGAGAAGTGCCGAGAGCGACTTTTTGCTGATGCTTCTGAGGCAAGTTCTTCCCAAGAGACCGGATTTGAAGATTGTTTTGATGAGCGCGACGCTTAAAGCAGAGACTTTCTCCAGTTATTTCAACGGAACTCCAATTTTGGAGATACCAGGGCGAACTTTTCCGGTGGATCAGCTGTTCCTTGAGGAAATACTCGAGAGATGCGACTACGCGCTGGAAGAAAACTCCAAGTACACTAGGAAGATCCGCGGTGGATGGGAGAACCTCCAGATGGAGCTTGATACCACGGACTTGGATACTTTTGTAGGTTGCGCGCCGCAGGATACCATCGCTGATGAAAATTTACGGCTGTCTCAGCTGATCGGGAGGTATCCGGGTTGCTCGAAGAAAGCCATTAGGAATCTGTACGTGATGGACCACGAGAAGATCGACTACGACCTGATAGAAAAGGTCCTGGAGTGGATCGTCGACGGAGACCATGACTACCCTCGCAAAGGGTCTATCTTGGTGTTTTTGCCTGGAATCGCCGAGATATCCGCCGCCAGGGACTCAATTTCCGAGAACAGAATTCTGTCTCCGCGAACTGGGAATTTCGTGATAGTCCCTCTGCACTCAACGCTGACGAGCGAGGAACAGGCGCTGGTGTTCCAGAAGCCCAAAAACGGAGCGCGTAAAATAGTGCTTAGTACAAATATTGCGGAGACTTCGGTGACGATTGACGACTGCGTGTTCGTGGTCGACTCGGGCAGGATGAAGGAGACGAGGTTCAACTCAAACACCAACATGGGGAGCCTGGAAACCTGCTGGGTGTCTAAAGCCAATGCTATGCAGCGGAAAGGACGTGCTGGAAGAGTAATGTCCGGGGTTTGTATTCATCTGTACACTTCTAATAGGTTCAGCCGGTTTCAAGGACAGCCCATTCCGGAGATCCAGCGGATTCCGTTGGAGCCACTGCTGCTGAGGATCCAGATGATGAACGCTGGAAAGCAACCCAATCTTTACCAGGTCATGGCTAAAATTCTGGAGCCGCCTGAAGAGCAGAGTGTCAGAGATGCTATCAGGAGGCTTCAAGATGTCGGTGCTTTTGATTCTGAGTGCAAGCTCACGCCTCTTGGGCATCATTTAGCTGCGCTACCTGTTGATGTTAGAATTGGAAAATTAATTTTGTACGGAGTTATTTTTTGTTGTGTTGACTCCGCGCTTACCATCGCGGCTTGTTTGTCACATAAAAGTCCTTTTACGATGCCTTTTGATAAGAGGCAGAGTGTTGATGCTAAGAAGAAAGAATTTAGCACTGCTTTTTCTGATCAACTTACTATTCTTAAAGCTTACAAGGTTAATATTTTATTTTTATTTTTAATATTAAGTTTTTTTTAATTAATTTAATAATTAATTAATTTTTTTTTTTAAATAATATTTTTTTTTTTTTTTTTTCTTCTTATAGAAATGGCAAGAAGTAAGTTCTCGAGGATATCACGCAGGTCAAGCATTTGCTTTTGAAAATTTTCTCTCTGTAAGAACGCTGCAAACTATCGCAGATGTAAAGCATCAACTTCTAGAGCTCCTGGTATCGATAGGATTCGCGCCGATTGACATTCACAAAAGATCCACGGGAGTGGATAAAGTTTTAGAGATGTCGGGAACCGAACTAAACAGAAATAATGATAATTTAAAGCTTCTTCAAGGATTACTTTGCGCGGCACTTTATCCTAATATTGTTAAAATTTACACACCTGAAAAATCTTTTCAAATGAGGTCCACAGGAGCCATTCCAGCGCAACCCAAACCTGAGGAACTGAGATTCAAAACTAAAGATTCTGAGTATGTTTATATTCATCCGTCGTCGGTTAATTTCTCAGTTCAACATTTTCCGACTCCGTACTTGGTTTATCAGGAAAAAATGAAGACTAGCAAAGTTTTTATCAAGGAAATTTCGGTCATTTCTATGCTTCCACTTGTACTTTTCTCGGGGTATGATATTAATATTCAAAAACAAGATGGAGAGTTTTATTTGTTGCTCGCTGATGAGTGGATTAAGTTTGCTGTTGAATCATCCGAGGTCAGCTCCTTTTCAATATAATTAGTAGTTGTAAATTATTAATATAAATGATTTTAATTGTAAGTTTTTTTATTTTTAGGTGGCTCAACTTCTGAAACATGTAAGGATTGAATTAGTAAAATTGTTGGAACAAAAAATGCAAGACCCTCTGCTCAATTTGCTTCATCATCAGAATGGGCGAAGGATTATTGATACAATTATTACTATTTTAACGAGAGATTAGTTAATTTATATATTTTATTGATTGAAATATTTATATCGTTAACGATACAATATTTTGAAGAGTGATTTATTTAATTTCAGTGTTGATTATTCTAGAAGTAAAAAAAAAAATATTTTAGTTAAATTTTTAAATAATTAAATCATGCATTAATAAATTTCTATAACAATGATATTTATATTTTTTTTAATTTATTAATTTATAATCCATAAATATTAAATAATTATAAAAATGAAATAAGCAGATATCTGGCAATATTTAAAAAGATTTTTTATTTAAAGATAACTAAAAAATTTTTAAATTTTAGCGCGCAAAGGAACTTTGGCCATTTTTAAAAGAAAAGAATATACTGAAGTGCCACCTAGTTTGGTTTTTTTAAAAATTACAGGTTATATTTTAGATAGAATCTCATGTTTAGAAAACAATGATAATGAGCGAGCACGTGGTCATTATAATACATTGTTTAAATTAATATAACATTAATTTAAAATCATGAGTAAAGTTCAAGAAGATGCGGAAGCTGTAAATATCAACTCGAAGTCAAATATGTCAACTTTAGAAAGGACAAATGCACTGAGTGTCATTGCGGCTTCCTACGACGATGACGTTGATGAAAATGAGGACCAGAGTACTCCGAATAGTGAAGAACAGAATAAATTAATAAGCAGTGAAATGGTAATTTGTGATCAAGAAAAAACTTCTGAAAATGTAGAGCCAGTTGTTCTCAAAGAAATTACAGTTGTTGATCCAGAGCCAGAGTTGTCTATCGTGAAGGAGCAAATAACACTATCTGATTCTCAGAGACAAAATTACCGAACTCAAGATTCGGACAGCTCTGACAGTGAAGATGATTCTAGTTCCAGTGATAGTAGCAGTAGCAGCAGTTCCTCCGAAGCTGAGTCTGAAAACGAGGACAGTGATAATGAGAAGGTACAATCCAACAAATTTAGGTAAGTTGATTTTTAAAATGAAAATTAATTTAGCAGATATTTGATAATTTTTTTAATTTTTCGACATCTAAAAATTTTTATAAATTTTTTTTATTGAAAAAATGATTGCAAAAAAATTAAAAAAAAAATTTTCATTTGTAAAAAATTTTAAAAACAGGCAGTGCAATTTTTAAAAAATATTTTTTTGTTCTAATTTAATTATTAAAAAAAAACTTTAGTATCATTTATATTAAAAAAAAAAAAAAAAAAAAAAAAAATACGCAATGATAATTATTAGAATAAGTAATAATTTATTATTATTTAATTTACAGGAAGAAAAAAGGGCAAGAAAAAGGAGAGTTTGATGATCTACCTCCAATCGAAGATTTGCAGATATCAGTTCCAGAAGTTCTCTGCGACCCTCTGGGCGAAGTAATATTTTATTAGTCTATTTAAAGTCAGAGTAATTAAATAGGTATTATTAATTGAAATGAATATTTAATTTTAGGTCGGGTGGGTAGTAGAGCAAATGGTTGTAGTGACCCCAAAAGCCACTAAACCGACTCTTAATTTTGACACTATATTATTTGTGGACAAAGGTAAACGTGTCTTGGGGCGTGTGTTTGACGTATTTGGACCAGTAACCGAGCCTCATTACTGTGTTAGATTTAATAATGCTCAACATATTGAAGAGAGTAATATTAAAGTTGGTATGACAGTTTATTACTGTCCTAATACCCCTTATACAACTCTTGTATTCATGACTGACCTTCTCAAGTAAGTTTTCTTTATACTATTTATAACAATAATGATAGTAGTAACAAAAAAATGCATCCACTCTAATACACCTTTAAGCTTGCACAACAATAATATTTTTTTTTGTCCAGAATGAAAGCAAGTGATGACGTAGGCGAAGACGAGCATCCAGAGTTTTCAGATGATGAAGAAGAAAAGGCGTACTTTGCTTCTCTTAAACAAAAACAAAGGAATAATAATAATAAAAATAATAATAATAGTAATAGCAATGGCAACAATAATAAAAGTAATGACACTAATAGAAGTACTCCGTCGTCGAAGCGTCAGAAGAAAAATGATGGATGGAAGTCTCAGCATCCTTGGAACAACTCTAGAAGGACGGATCAGAGAGGACAGAATTATCATTGGTATCAGCAAGCGCAAAATCAAAGTCATTTTTACTCTCAGCCTCAGCCGCAACAAAATATGTGGGCGCCATACCCGAGTAATGCCCCTAGTAATCCTTCGTATCATTACGGATATCAAAATTGGTACGGGTATCCCCAATCCGAGTATTCAGCTCACCCGTCATATCAACAGAATGTCGATCTAACGCGACAGCCCGGACCTAGTTTTGCGTGGCAAGCTAACTCGACCTTTACACCCACGCCTACTAATCCAACCTGGCCCATACTACCGCCTCCACCTCCTCCTCCTCCTCCTCCTCCTCCTCCTTCTCAACCTTCTCAATCTCCGACGTCTCCAGGTACGTAGATCCTACTACTAAATTCAACGAAATTACAAATCGATTTGGTGTAAATAATTCACTGGAAAATTATAAACACTCAATTATATGAAAATATTATTAGTTATTATTTTTTAACTATAGAAAATTGCAATAAATTTTCAAATAAAATTTTAATATTAAATTTTAATTCTGAATAATTGAAATTATAAAAAATATTATTTTTGTAAAAAATTAAATTCTCTCAATCATTTCAAAAATTTCACATCTAATTGATTGTATTAAATTTTTCCATAAACTATTTTTTTTTTTTTTTACAATGTATACGTATTACCTTACTCTAAAATAAAAATAATAATAATAAATAAATTATAATTTTTTATAAATATTTTAATACAAAATATAATATTGGTCCTTTAATACTTAAAAATACAATATAAATTATATTAAATATCTACCCTTGGTTAACAATCAGTCAAAAGAGTCGATTTTAATTCATTCATCTTGGGATCTTCCAATCGTTGATCCGCAATCTTAATATCATTATTTATCGCAGCGATTAAAGCTTCTAAAAATTCAATAAAAATAATTATTAATTGTATAAATATATAAATAGTACACTTACCAACAGAGTCAAAGCTAGTTTCTGGTCGTATAAATCCCGTGATGACAATTTTCAGCTCTCTACCATGTAAGTCATTAGAAAACTTATGAAGAATATGAACCTCCTTGGAAAAAAAAAATTTAATTACAGTATAAATAAATTTTATATTTAGTTATTTATAATTAGTCAATTACCATTGATTTTTTTTCATTCTGATAGAATGGATTCCACCCTATGCTCATAACCATTTTATATATTTCACCCTCAAGGGCCGCCCAACCGTAATAAATTCCGGTATTAAATCCTTCCGGCAACTGAGCAACAACATCTTCAGGAAAATTAGCTAATTTAAACATACAAACATAAAAATAATAATTAAAACATTTAAACAAGATATTTAATATAGGTTAATGATCCGTTTAACCAAATAGATTACCTGTAGGTATTCCAAGTGCTTTGGAGCCTCGGCCAAATCCTTTGACAATTGTTCCTTTGGCATAGTACGGAAGCAAGGAATCGTTAGACATAATTGCGCTGCTTGCTAACTTCTTAAAGTAATTTATTTTAGTTGATTAATAACTGGATAAGTGAGATGTAAGATGTTGTTAGTAGTCAGCCCAAGGAAAAACACTATTTGTCTGACTGACACGTGTCTATCAGCTGATCTCCCTCCTTCTATTTCTCTGCACAGAAAAATAAATAAAAAATCATTGATGTGTTACTTACAATTCCAATTTAATTATCAATTAAAAATATCTAGATAAAAAAAAAAATTATTTTATATTTTATAATTGAAATTTTCTTGACATTTAAATATTGTTTAAATAATGTCAATGATAAGCGGAAAAAATAATTACTCAACAATTATAAAGATAAAAAGCATAAGCCAGTCATTAAATAAATAATTACTAAATTGATAAAGAACAAAGCGACATTTGGCATTTCTTTATTATATTTATATTTTAAAGCTTTTGTCAATGTGATGGTAATCGTTTTATTTGGTATTTTTCGATGGCAACTCAAGGCTCTCGATCGCGTGAATAGTCTAGTAAAGTAATAAGTAGATAGAGAGACCTGAAGGTCCAACGTTAGATCCCACGTAATCGAAGGTATTATGAATTATTCAATTATCATCAATTATTTAATTGTTTCCTCATTCTCTGGCTATTAATTACATTAACTCAGTTATTCTTAACTAATTTTAATAGCTTTAGAGTTTTTATCTGTATAATATAGACATATATGTCATACTTATCTATATATTAGTAAATATGAAAATAAAATTAACAGACATCTGTCAATTTTTTGGATTTTAACTAAAAAGTTTTAGAATTTTTTTTATTGAAAAAATTAAAAAAAAAATTTTCATTCGTTAAAAACTTAAAAATCCGTCAATGGAATTTTTTAAAAATATTTTTTAGTTCTAATTAAATAAATGAAAAAAAAAATTAAAAACGTCGGCTAATTTTAGTATTATTTAGAAAATTACAATTTTATTAGAATAATTTTTCTGAACTAATAACTTATTTGTTAAATAAAATTAAATTAATAAAGTGACTGAAAAATTAAAAATTAAAAAAATTTTTTTTTATTCAAAATTTTCATACAAAAAAAAAAAAATATTTTTTTGCTCCAATTTAATAAATAAAAAAAAATTCAAAACGTTATTATGAAAAATAATTTAGTATATATTATATTTAATAATTTTAAAAATCTTAAAACAAATAAATTATGACAAAAAAAATTGAAGAAATTAAAAAATTGTCAACTTTAATGTCATTGAAATAAAATATCGTTGGTAAATTATTTTTATGAGTTTGTAAATATATGGTTATATTAATTTACGTCTGTCCGACCGAAAAGTACAAATAAGTACTTACGTACTTACGTCTAGGTGCGACATAATACAAGTACTCGTAGGAGTAATGATAACTGATGAAAGTATATATACATAAAAGTATATCAACAAACTACATAAATGGTATGTATGTGTATATTAAAGTAGATATAATAGTAGTAGAAAATTTAGAATTGGAGTATACCCACACAGATCAACGACTACGAATAGAAGACGATGAATTGACGTCATAGAGTGACGTCAAGCAGGTCCGTAGCAAAGTAACACGCAATCTCCCCTTTTTAAAATTAATACACACATAATTACTTATATTCTAGATCATATACCTGTGTTTCCCACCTACTGATCCGTGTTCTTCTTTTATTAAGCCTCTTCTCACCTAAAAAACTAATAAAAGTAAATTATTTTTTTTTTTTTACCACCGAAAAATCCATTCTAAATTAGCATTTATATTTGTCAGGTCAGATGCAAATGTCAAAGATAAAATAATTTAAGGAGATAGAAGAATTTATCAAATACCGGCAAAGTGTAACGCGATAAGTTTGAATCTCAGTGACCTCGACTATTTCTTTAATAATGACGCACGTTGTACGCTATAAAACATAAAGTTGGCTCGAGGCCGAAAATACACCGGCTATCAGAGAGAAAGAAAAGAATCATAAGACTCTCAATATAAATGCTTAAATAATTTAATACCTTTGTATTTATACATACTTACATATCATTTATTTTTTTTTTATTATTATTATTATTCTCTTGATAACAAGAGTTTCTTGACTCAAGGATTTATTTGCCAATTGGAATTAATTAATTAATTAATAACCTCTTTCAGGAAAACCCTGACAGGACGCCAGGACAAAGAGTCATAAATTACAATTGAAGATACAATCTGGTTTATCTTTATCTCTGGATATATTTCCTGCAATAATGTAAAATAAAAACAATGACATTAAAGTTAGCTGACAAATTTTTAATTTTATTTAACAATTAAATTATTTTTAAAAAATTGCATTTTTAATTTCTACATGTCAATTTTTTTTTCTTATTTTTTTTGCCATAATTTATTTGTTAACAAAAATTCTAAATATTAATAAATATCTGTTAAATTAATTTTCATTTTTTTTTAACAACAAAATTTATTTTGAAAAATGATTTAAAAAAAATGGAATTTTTATTTTTTTTTTTTTTTTTTTTTTTAATTTCAAAATTTTTAAAAATATTTAATATCTGCTAAATGAATTTAATTAAAAAAAAAAAAAAAAAAAAAAAACAACTTAACTAAACAACTTACCTTGAGGTTTCCTGACGGTCAATTTGCACGAGTAAGTCAAGGGTATATTTGCAACTTACGGCAATTAAATGAGACGGGAGAAGAACATTGACGTCAATTGCTGTAAAAGATAATACGTAAGTCTGTAACTACTCTAGATTACGTTTATTTGCTTGTATTCATTAATGTGTTCATAAATGTAAGTACTTTCTTCTCAAATTGTTATTTCTTCTTCTTTAATTATTATTGTTATTTTGTTATTCTTCAGGTACAAGTACTGAGAGCCGCAAGTGCATGTAAAACAGGTTTGTAAACTGGAGACTAGATTGTCATCCTGACGGCTGTGACTCTTATCGAGAGACAGAGAAGAAAAGAGGAAGGGAGTAGAGTGCAATGACGACAAGTAGAGAAATTGTTGGTTAGTACACTCTCATAACTATATATTTTAATGATATATAGGTGTACTGTCACGTATGTATATATATATATATATGTATATGTATAGTAGCGCCAAGGGGCATACTTGGGGGTTGCAACATGGCCGTCTGTTAGTCGGTATCGAACCGTCGTGCTTGTAAGGTGTATCTTGTAATGACATGTCGAGTTTACGGGGTGTCGTTACAGAAAATTTTTTGTTAAATTAAAAATAACATTACCTTTAAGAAGAATATTTATTTATATTAAATAAAAAATGCCGACGTGGATGGCCGGCTACTTTTCAGGTGAGATATCAGATCACTTATCACTTAAAGAAGAAAAAAAATTCCATTGATTGTTACATTGAAAAATAAACTTATTTAATTAGTGTTTACTTGTTGATGTTATAAGTAATTATTATCTAGTAGAAAAAATTTCTATATTAATTAATTGGTAGAATGTTTGTCTAATCACCAGCTTAAATTGATAAGACTTTATTATGATACTGAAATTAACAGACATTATGAAAATAAAGTTAGCCGACATTTTTTATTTTTTTATTTTGCTTAATTTATTAAATTATAACTAAAAAATATTTTTAAAAAATTTCACTTGTAGTTTTTTAAGTTTTTAACAAGTGAAGAATTTAAAAAAAAATTTTTTTGCATAACTTGAATTCATATGTAACTAATCAATTTTGATAAAAAAAAAAAATTTGCATTAATAATTTTCTGAAATTTCTTCTGGTGGATTTTTTTTGCTAAATATTTTTCATTGTAATTTAATTGTTATAAAAATCTAAAAATTGTTAAATTCAGTGTCATAATTTATTGGGATGGTTTTGAGAATTGGAGTTTGTTTTTCACTGAAGATAAATAATTATTATTGTTAGGATTTTAAGTACTTGCTTTTAATAATTATTTAATAATTTACGATAACGAATGTATGTTATTTTATTGGTAGTTAAAATGTCTAGACAGTCTGGTTTGATAGACGTTTTATATAGTTCTAGGGATCTAGGGTTATTTTTTAGCAGCGACAGAGCCAGAAAGTTCGGGATACACAATATACATACATAGATAGATATATGTATAAAGAACAAGAAGAATAATGATGATAATAAAATGAGATAAGAGCCGTGGAAGAAGGGGTGGAACAAGGAAGTTTTTAAGAAAACACGTAAGGGTGCCACGTTGAAGAAAGTGGTAGTAGTTGGCAGTGCATTCATCAGGTCCTTCGCCTTCTATCGACCCGGCTACGCTGTACTGGTAATAAGGCGATACGTGAAAGTAATTGACACCTAGAGGCACTATGGCGACTTGTTAATTACTCTGTACATTTTCCTTACAGAATTTTTAAGTTAATTAACAGTTGACCGTTTTTTATTACAACAAGCGCTAATTATCTTTGTTGTTGTGGTGGTTGTGTAATAATTTATTCAAATATTTATTTTCTTCCAGGTCCTATGATTTTTATTAACGTGGTTGTTTAAAAATAATTTTTAAAAATAATATAATGTTATAATTCATTGTCGTTAATGATTGTCGTCAACATCCTACTGCAAAATTGTTCGTTATCTGTATAGAAAAAGGTTTGCGACCTGCGTAAGCAATGACGCACGCGGTACGATTTATATCTTTGTTAGTTTTTTATACGTTTTCTTTTTTATTACTCGCTTTTAAATTCAATTCATTTAATCTGTGTCGTCAATGTAATAATATGAAATTAGGGATAGAGGACTGATTAATTATTATTAGTTTATAAATATAATGTTTATTGTTATTTAAACCCGGCGCCAGACTAAAAAATATTTATATTAATTTTCAAATAGTTAGAAAATTATATTATAATTTAATTAATTGATGGTAATAATATTTTTAATAATTTTATTTTATGTTTGTCTCAGTTGTATTAAATAGAAACATAAATTTTGTTGCAGGTGATGAGTGAATTTAACGTCGACAAAAAGGATCAAAATAATTTATCGACGTGAAACGAAAGACTGAAATAGAGGATTGAACAAGACAGTTATTGTTTCCCAATATAAAATTATTATTATTATTATTATTATTATTAGTAATAATAAATTATAAATAGTAATATAAAAGCAAAAATGGAATCAGCTGGGACACAAGGTAAAAAACAAATCCGCGTGGGTTTTTATGACATCGAGGGGACGATTGGTAAAGGTAATTTTGCAGTTGTTAAATTGGCTCGGCATCGAATTACCAAAACTGAGGTAAATAAATATAAATTATTTATAGATAACTATGACGTTAAATATAATATTTATTAATAATATAAAATATATATTTTTGTCACCAGGTAGCTATTAAAATAATCGATAAAACACAACTGGACTCGACAAACTTGGAGAAAGTCTACCGCGAAGTGGAGATAATGAAGCAACTGGAGCACCCGCACATTGTTAAATTGTACCAAGTTATGGAAACTAAAAACATGATTTATATGGTGTGTGAGTACGCGAGCAAAGGAGAAATATTTGACTACATTGCTCGGTACGGCAGAATGGGAGAGTCTCGTGCACGTGCGACATTTGCCCAAATTTTATCCGCGGTTGAGTATTGCCACAACACCGGGGTGGCTCATCGTGATTTAAAAGCGGAAAATTTATTGCTTGACGCTCACATGAACGTTAAAATAGCGGACTTTGGGTTTAGCAATCGATTTGTACCCGGTGAGAGACTGAGCACGTGGTGCGGAAGTCCTCCTTATGCCGCGCCGGAAGTCTTTCGCGGCAAACATTACGCTGGACCTGAAATCGACGTTTGGGTAAGTTCAATTTATCATTCACGAGGTCTGATATTTATTTAGGAAATTCATCTCAGGCAATTGGCGAATTTTAATTGGTTAATTGGTCGTTTATTATTCAAACAGAGTTTGGGAGTCGTCTTGTATGTTTTGGTCTGCGGAGCGCTGCCCTTCGACGGATCGACGCTTCAGTCTTTACGTGATCGTGTACTGAGTGGGCGATTTAGGATTCCATATTTCATGAGTACTGGTAAATATTATCCGTAATACCTACTGATGAATCACACGGTTGGATAATTTATAGGATAGAACCTGTGAATGTTGAATTAATTTTTAAATTTTATTCCCGATAGATTGCGAAAGCCTAATACGCAAGATGTTAGTCTTGGAGCCAACAAAACGCTACACAATTCCACAAATAAAGAGGCATCGTTGGCTCATTGGCACTACTGATTCCGTCTGTCCAATTATCACCACGACACCATCAGCTCTGCAGGAGCCTAATGAACAAATATTGAGACTTATGCATGGTTTAGGAATTGATATATCTCGTACCAAAGATGTAAGATTGATTTATTTTTTTATTTAACACCTGACAGGCTTACATCTAAAAAAAACTAGTCCATTTTTTTTTTTTTTTTTTTTAACAAATTTGTTAAAAAAACAATTATATTTTTTAAAAATTGCATTTAAAATTTTTTTTTTAATTATTTATGACTAAAATTTTTTAAATTATGAAAAATCTGCTAAATTAATTTTTTTTTAAATTCCTGTTTACCTGTTAGGAGTTAAAAATATTCCGAAATAATAAAAATAATAATTACAGTCACTGAAAAACAACAGCTACGACCATCACGCCGCCATATACTTTTTGTTGCTCGAGAGACTGAAGCAACACCGTAGTAGCAGTAGTATACCAACGAATAACAGCAGCGGTGCGTGGCCTGTGTCACGGACTAAAGACGATAAGTTTAAGTCAAGGTAAGCATCAACGTCAAAAATATCATTGCTCAATACAATAATAATCTATACTGTAGTATTAATAATATATAGATGTATATATGTTTATCTACACAGTCATACTAACCACTGTCACATTATTATATGTTATTTATCGTACATAGCAACCATTAAAAAAATCATTGTTATCATCACTTGCGGAGCTTCCAATCCGGCCTAAAATACCGGAGTCCGCAAATCGTTGTTCGACTTAAATATCAGAGTCATATTCAATTCCATCGTAACTATTTTATCATTTTTATTTACAGCGATAGCTTAATCGGCCGATGATTATTGATTGACCTTACGGGACGACACCGATCGTCCGGCGTTTTATTGGATTAGGCTGGATTGGAAGATCAAAAGCCGTTCCGTTATCAGTTTTTTGGTAATTTTTCGTTTTAACCTGCTTCCCTTTTTTTTTTTTTTTTAAATATTATTTCTTCTTTTATTTCTCTCCTACTATTAAAAACAAAACCAAATTAAATTAACTAAGAAGCTTATGGGTTTGCTGAGTACATTTTAAAAATTAATTTTTTCCTGTACTGTTGACTAAATATTTATTATTTATCAATGCTTATAACAACTATTGCCTATTAGAACTGCTACGGTCAATGCTTTTGGGTACACTTTTTTTCTGTAGACTAGGTAAAGGGTAAAGCTGTTACTATACTGGGTTTATAAAAACTATTAACGACTAGAGAATTGTATGCGTTTTAATTTTAACACTTGATTAATCGCTCCAGTAATTTACTTGAATAATTATTTTAATAAATATTCCGATAAAATAATTACAGAGCCAGAGATGACGGCAGAAGTGGCAAGAGATTCAGCTCAACGAGTTCATCGACCGATGAAGGGTGCTGCAGCGCCGAGGGCGATCTCGAGGAGGGTCCGAGCGGAGACGAGCTCAGAGAGGCTCAAATTAAACTCCAGGAGCACAGGCTGGGCTTGGATCAAGACATTAGCCAGAGAATTGACAGCCAGATCGTTAATCGCCGGCTGAGCGATTATCAACATCACCACTTTGACAATATCCTGGATCCTATTGATCCGCCGAGTCGGGCGACTATTTTTGGAGCGGGCAGCTCCTCTTCAGACTTGTTTGAGTCTAGTTTTGATTCGGGCTGTCCGTCTGATTTGACTATCACCGGATTTACAAGCAGTCTACCGTCTTGCACTCCGCCTCCGCCAAAAAGCCCCTCGCCGATTGCGGCAAGACTCTCTAGGACTGGTCAAGGAAGACGGGCGTCTGATGGTGGGCCCAGGCTGCTGTTTGGACAGCAGAATAACTCCGCGGAGAGACCTACCAAGCAGCGAAGCATCCAAGGTATTAATTAATTAAATACAACACTTGGTGGTTAATTATTATGACAGTGTAATTTTATTATACTGAAATTAAGATACACCTGATAATTTTTTTATTAATAAATTATATCAATAAAAATTTAATCTTTAAAAGATCTAAAAAAAATTACAAACACAATTTTTTTTAAATAATTTTTTATAGCTAGCTTACTATTCAAAAAAAAAATAAAATTATCAAATATTTGCCAATTTTAATATCGTAATTTTATGATACTAAAATTAAGAGACATCTGATAATTTAAAAAATTTTTTTAATTAATAAATTATAGCAAGAAAAATTTATTTTAAAAATTTAATCCTTAAAAGCTCTGAAAAATTATAAATACAATTTTTTTTAATAATTTTCTATAGCTAGTACCTATATTATTAAATAAAAATAAAAAAATTGTCTAATTGTTAATTTTATTGTCATAATTTTATGAGACTAAAATTAAGAGATCTGATAATTTAAAAAATTTTTTTAATTAATAAATTATAGCAAGAAAAATTTATTTAATTTTAATCTTTAAAAGCTTTAAAAAATTATAAATACATTTTTTTTTTAATAATTTTCTATAGCTAATTTATTATTAAAAAAAAAAAATAAAAAAATTTTCAAGTGTGCTAATTTTATTGTACTAAAATTAAGAGACATTTGATAATTTAAAAAATTTTTTTAGTTAATAAATTATAACAAGAAAAATTTATTAAAAAATAATTTAGTTTATTATTATAAAAAAATGATCAAGTGTGTCTGAAAATTTAAACATCTTGGAATTTTCATCAACAATATCAATATTAATATTAAAACAATTTATTAGATTCAGGAAAAGCTCGAGGTCACCTAGACCTGGTCCACCTCCGACCAAGCTCAACGTCTCCGAGCCAGCAGCCGTTTAAAATCCGTGCGGATTCGAGCATGCACTTGCAGCTGATGGTGCAACAGCGAATGCTGCAGCAAAAAAGGAACATGTACCACAGGCATCGCGGTGGCGTAAGTCCCACTCCATTGTCCTCCGCGGACGGCAAAGTGTCTTCATCCTCATCGACCTCACTGGCGAGGCGCAGCAACGTCGTCACCGGGGAGCACGTGCCTCGACAAGACAGCTACAAGCTGGCCCAGCGCAAGCAAATTTTGCCTCCTTTGTCCCAAGTCCAGGATGACGATCCCACTGATGAATTTGATCGCGAGCGAGAGCGCGAAGAAGAACGATGGACTAGTTTACCCTCTAGACTTGCGACTGATTGCCAATTGGCTGAACGTACATTGCTTTGGAGTCAACAGGTAACTCCTTGATAAAAATAAGTAATTAGTTGAATCATCGAGCGGAGCTTTCGTTAGCTTATTTAAAATTATTTTATTTTCACATATTATATTCATCATTAAATCAAATGATCGATCAAAATTTAAAAACAACAATACATTCTATTAATTATTTGTAATTTGAGGGAATGCAATAAGCCTGATTGTTAATTATATATTAGTTACACAAACACATAGTCTAGATATTTATTATTTGAGTTACTGAATTAAGTATCTCAGGGATTAAATTAAGTTTTATTATTTATATATTTACACTCTTCACACGAGTTTATTTTTTTTTTTTTGTAATACACAAAGTTATTGTTAATTGAAATTTGTACCTGTAAATTTAATTTAATATTTATTTTGTTGTAATAAATTATTTATAAATTTTTTTTTTTCAATCTCCTTTCTTTTATATTTTATTATTATTATTATTATTATTATTATTATTATAAAGCTCTCAGGATTTAATTATTTAATAAATTTAAATATTTATGCACTTTTTGGCTCATATCAAGCCTGCATGTTTTAGCTGTGTAGCACTCGCCGAGTAATAAGTTATTCTAAGCAAGACGAGAATCTTTAATTGTCTATTAGGTGGGTTTAAGTGGAGGTGCGTCGTACCTACCTCCAGGAAGCGTCGGAGCAGGCTTTCTCTGGCCAGTCGGAAGCAATCCACATGCGACGATATTTGAAAATACTGGCGATCCAATGGAATAAATTTTATAAACAATCATTTATTTTTTTTTTTTTTTTTACATTTCATTTAATTGTACTCGATAAATTCTACTAGGTTTTTAATTACAAAGTGTAATTTTAAAAAATCCGATCGTTGCTGATTTAATTGAGACTAATTGTTATTATTTTCAAGAGCTTTTTTTATTTTAATGACTCCGACTTGGGAATTTTTATTTTAAATTTAAATAAATAAAATTAATTTTTTCGAAATTTTAAATAATTTTATTTCTTCAGCTAAAAAATAAAATTGTTTAAAAAATTTCAAACAAATTAATTTCTTGTCAAAAAAATAATTTTTTTTTCTTTTTAATACATTTTTTTCTAATAGCAACGATCAGATTATAAAAAAAACCATCCAATTTAGATTATCAAGATGTAGTTTGAATGATCAAGAAGAAATATTAACAATAAAACGATGTTCGATTGCTATAAATATCATCCCTCTTATCATAATTAAAGATAAATATCGACTGAAGAATTTAAAATCATCGTATGTAATTTAGTAACTTAAATTACTATAGACTGATCATTCAATTATAATTATTATTATTACTTAACACTATAAAATAAATGAATATTAACAGTGTTAGTAAATTAAACCAAAAATCTTTTTTGTAAGTTATAAAAATTAACTAAAATTGATTTTTTATACTGACAGTAATTATTTCCGTTACAATTGTTATAGTTTGTTAGATAAATTATATAAATATTTGTACTGCCAATCGAGTATCGTACTCGAATCTTTATCATTATTTATATTGTATACACTTGTAATTTGTAAGCTCAATAATTCAACGTGTACAATATTTGTACCAGCTATTTATTTATCAACTGTAATTATTTTATTTTTAATTGTAAAAATATAAATACTCAATTGACACGTTGATAAACTGAGTGCTTACCATACTGGTAATTAGTCAATATAATTATTTATACTTGAAATTATTTTACGGCCGTCTCTAACAAAGCCAGCTCAGTAACTAATTAATTAAATAAACAAACATGGATTTGATGAGTTACTTTACTGTGAGATAAAATTAAACTTGAGCTTTTGAAGCGTATTTAATAAAAAAAAAAAAAAAAAAAAAAAAATAAGTAAATAAAAGCAATATAAGTTGCGCACAACTGACAACGATTTGTAGAATTTGTTGAATGATACTCCTCATCTTTATACAAATAAAGGCTAATACAATCAAACTTCGCTCAGAAAAAAAAAAAAAACAGTAACAGATAAAAATAACAATTTCTTTTTTTTACTATCGAATGCTTGAAATAACATCGAATAACTCTGGAAATTAAAAGCCCTTTTAACTAATGATTAATTATTAAATTACATAAAATAAAAATTCTTACAATTAGTGCTGTAGATTATTACAATTAGGCGTGAATGTAATCCTCGTTGTTCGTCAGCAAAAAAAAAAACTCGCCAAATAAATTGAAATTGTTAATAAAAGTATGTATGAGAATGTGATATACCACCCATACGCAATACAAGGTCTAACGTAGTCAATAAAATTAATTAATTTTAGGATTATTGTTAATTAATATCAGTGTACTGCGGACGAAGAGTTCTTGTCGCCATATCAGAGTTAAATAATTATTATTATAAATAGCAATTACATAAAAAATTAGCCAGTGGATTGATAACTTAATATTAATGATCTATTGTACGTAAAGTGCACGTAGAACCTTATATATTAATATACATATTTAATTAATTAATTAACTATCAAAAAATTAATTATTATTAACGATATTAAAGTTATTATTGAATAAATATATACAAAGAGGCTAGTAGAATTTTTTTAAGTCCAATTGCTTTTTATGATGGTGATTTATAAACGAAAAAAAAAAAAACTATGAAATAGGTCCACTAGTTTTTAGTATCTCGCATGAAATAATTGTTCAATAACAATTAATTATACATGTGAATATACTTACATAATCACATTCTACGACAATAAATGATATATATATATATATATATATATATATATATATAATAAAGATTAAAATAAACAGAATAATTAATTAAAATAACAACTGATCAGGTGTTATAATTTTTCTATTTTTCTTGCTCATTTTCATTTTTTATTGGCCACCCAAACGAAGGAGGAGCATCGTGAGTAAACAAGTCGCTTCCTGTTTTTCGAGATTGCGCCAGAGCTTCTTCAGGAGTCAGAGACTCTTCGATACTCGGCTCCAGGGGCTGGTTATTCTCGTCCAGCTTTCCAGCCTGGAAATCTTGTTTTATTTTTTCTGCGTAAACTAGGTCGAACAACAACTCTGCAGTGAACTTGGGCTGCTTCTTAACTGTCGAACGGTAAGACACGTAGGGTTGAAGCTCGAAGCCTTTGAGGTCTGGTACAACGAGCTCGGGGATCATTTCTGGGACGTCGATCCAGAGGCCGTCTTTTTCATACCCTGTATCTCTAACTCCTCGTTCTGAAATTTAATTATAGTTTATTGTTAATTTATTAATATCTTTCGTCAATTTTTTGGATTTTTGTAAATAAATTATTTTTTTTAATTTTAATACAAAAATTTCACTGAATTTTTTGAAAAATAGTTTTTTTTTTTTTTTTTTTTTTTTTTAGTTAATTTGTAGCAAAAATAAAAATATTATTATGATACTATCTTGTCCACATTCCTTATATAAAAATTATTATTGATAATATTAACTACAATAAAAATAAAATGAATAATGTTTATCAAGATCATATTTATGGGAGAGTACTTACTGGCTATAGGGATCAATGGATGAGGTTTTACTCGTTGTCTCTCCTTGAAATCTCTTGTACCAGCTTTGCCGTAGAACAAAAATTTTCTGATGTTTCTTTTACCTGCACACAGGCTGCTGGAGGTGGATATACCTCGAGTGAGTGTTAGAAATGGTAGTGACATTTTTTTAATCTGCAATTTAAAAATGACATTTGTAAGTTTTTAGCTTCTAAAAAATTTTTTTTAATAAATAACTCTAAAAATTATCAGTTTCAATAAAATTAATTTAGCAGATATTTAATAATTTTTAAAATTTTATAACAAATAAATTATAAAAAAAAAAAAATTAACACGTAGAAATTTAAAGAAATTAAAAATGCAATTTTTCTAATAAATAAAATTAAAAAAATTAAGTGACTGCTAACTTTAATGTCATATAAAATTTTTTGTTGAAACAAAAATGAACTATTTATTTAATTCTAAAAATATTTTTAAGCAAAAATATAATTTTAACTCAAAAATAAAAAACTATAACAATACTTTTACAATAAAATACTTGCGGCTCATTTTTTTAATGACAGTAAAATTAATCCAACATTTCACTTATTAGTCTCAAATAAAATTTAATTTTATTTAAAAAAATTTTTATTCAACAATTTAAAGAATTAACTTACCTTTATTGATTACAGGTTTAAAAAATGTATGTTTATTTTTTTACAACATTTATTTTGAGGTTATGTATCTACCCGACAAGTAGAGACAATATTTTAATATATATATATATCATGTGTAGATAATAAAATTCACAGAGTAATTAATAATAAAACTTGTTGTATTTATGTCAACGCTACGTATACATATTTCAAGTGTTTAATCTTATACACAAAAACACTAACTAATTATTAAATAAATTTTTTTATTTAAATTAAATTAATTAAAAAAAAAAGTAAGTATTTTTTTGGGGTAAAAAAATTTTTTTCTTCTATATATAAGAAATCTTTATATAATACCACTTACGATAAATTTATTCTAGACTAACAGCATGGAACTCGAGTGTGCAGTTCAAAATTACGATTGGGGCAAGAAGGGCATGGCAAGCAGCGTAGCTCAGCTGATTAAATCATCATCTCCGGAGTTGAATATCGAGCAAGACAAGCCCTACGCTGAACTGTGGATGGGGACCCACGTAAACGGCCCGTCATTCATCAAAGGAACCAAAGAATCACTAGCAGATTACATCACCAAAGACTCCAATAGTCACGTGCTAGGTGACAAAGTAAAGGAAGTATTCGGCAACACTTTGCCATTTTTATTCAAGGTCCTTTCGATCGACAAAGCGCTCTCCATCCAAGCACATCCAGCCAAAGCTCACGCAGAGGAGCTCCATCAATTATTTCCCTCTGTCTACAAAGATCCCAATCACAAACCAGAGCTCGCCATTGCTTTGACACCCTTCCAAGGGCTCTGTGGTTTCCGTCCGGTACAGGAGATTAGATTTCATTTGAATTCAATCCCCGAGCTGGTTGCACTTTGCGATCAGACTGCGGTTGATGATTTTTTGAACTGCCAAGGTAATCCTCAGATTCATTTGAAGAAATGTTTCAAAAGCTTGCTTACTTTTGCAACTACTGATGGAAATTCTGGTATCGTCGCTCAACAGTTGATCAATTTTCTTAACCGACTGTCTCAAATGGGTAAGAATTTAAAATTATACTGAGTTGAGAGATATTTAATCATTTTTTTTAGTTAATAAATTATTGCAAGAAAAATTTATTTTAAAAATTTCATTTTTATAGGCTCTAAAAAATTATAAATGCAATTGTTTTTAAATAATTTTCTAAACCTAGTTAATTTTAAAAAAAAATCTCTAAAAAAAATCGTCACAATATGTTTAAATATTAACACTGCAAAATAATTATTTAAATTAATTACAGATAACGACAATAGAGAAAAATTGAATGGAAATCTCTTCGAAAGACTTCATCAAGACTTTCCAGGTGACATTGGTTGCTTTGGAATTTATTTTTTTAATTACATAAATTTGAATCCTGGAGAAGCGCTGTATCTTGGACCAAATGTTCCTCATGCTTACTTGTACGGCGGTAAGAATAATTAAATTGAAGATAAAATGTGAATTTAATTTGAAAATAATTATTTTATTTTGATATTATTTAATACAGACTGCGTTGAGTGCATGGCGTGTTCTGACAATGTCGTTCGTGCTGGGCTTACTCCAAAATTAAAGGATGTGCCAACACTAATTGAAATGTTGTCCTATCAAAGTCAGTCGTATAATAAATTTGAGCCGAAAAAAATAGATGAATTTTCGGAAGTTTTTCAGCCACCGATAAAAGATTTTGCAGTGGCAAAAATTCAAATTCCTGGCAGTAAAAGTTACAAGTTTGTACCGGTTAATTCACCTTCTATAGTGATAATTATCCAAGGATCTGTAAAAATATTTGACAAGGTTCATAAACGAGGATCAGTATTATTTACACCTGCCAATTCTGAGCTAGCAGTGACCAATTTAGAGGAAGAAAAATCCTTAATTTTTCAAGCTTTTGCTAATGTTAATAACTTACCGATTATTAATTAGAATCCTCAGATTCTTCCTTAACACCATCAGCTGGTTTTTCATCCGTTTTATAATGACGATACTCCGGTTTTAATTCCCACATATTACGGTGGGGATTTTTGATATTGTAACTACAAACTTCCCCGAGAATTTCTTTTAAGTATACCTGTACAAATAAAATAGCACAATTTTGTTAATAATTGTTGATTGTTGATACTGCGTATGATATTATTTAAATTTTATAAATAAATACTTACGACAGGCTGGCGAGTTATTTTTACTAAATCTTTAATATTATAATACTGATGCTTTTCAAATGCTGCGAACAACATGTCCAGTACAGCATCTTTGTCATCACGCATTTTTTTACCTTCAGCTTTTTTCTTTTCAGCATATTCAATCTAAAAAATATAAATAATAATTACAATTATTTATATATTCTATAATTTTTTTGAAACATTAAACTTAAAAGTTTTAAATAAAAAAAAAAACTTACGTTATGTTTGTGGTCCGAAACTGGCTTAAAGTTCTGTACAACTTTGGATATTTGTTGGATAGCTCTTACAGGAACAGCCGCTTTCTTAATACTCGACAACTTTAATTTCATGTAACAATTGTCAGCGTAAGGGCGGCACTCTAGTTTTTGTACAATTTTGCCTTCCATACATAATTTGTCTCCTTCTGGCACAACCGCGTCAGAATTAGGACAAGCTGTAACAATTATAAATTATATAATAATCATTCATCATGATGAGTGTAAGTAACATCGGAATGAGCTTAAATATATATTATATACATAATTATCTTGTGAACTATTGACATTTTTAAAGATATAAGCTCATCCTGACATTACACTCATCGAGACCTTTCATTTGAATACCCACATCAATATTTCATATATTTATATATATTATATGAAAAATATATCAAAAATGCATGTGGGTACTCAAATGAAAGCTCTTGATAAGT